AATACTTGCCCAGAAGTGGAGAAAAAGTAGCACTGTTTCACTGCTGAGAAGAAGGAAATGTAGCTCACACTCTGCAGACTGAAGAAAACGTTGGCCGTCGTCCACCACAGTTCTTGGTAAGACCAAGATAGATCAGAGAGAGCTTAAACTGCTACTTGCAGTGTCGCCAGGAAACAAGGGATACCAGTCACGTATGGCCACTTGCCAGATTGAGAGGAAAAGGATATACCGCTGCCACCAGTGTCACGTGGTAAACTTTTAGTGGTGCTGTCGAGAGATGGGTAGCGTGATTCGTTTGCCGCTATCGTAGCAGGCTGACGTCGGCGTAGGTTCAGCGCCAAGCCTCACGTGAACAGTATTTGCATGGTAGGGAAAGGAAATACACTTGTTACCATTTGCACAAGGTTTAGTATTTCTATAACAATATCCTCCGAACGGAGGTCACCAGGATGTGGATGAAGTGGTAGTAGCATGGGGTTCTGCGGCTCATGAGAAGTGACACTCGAAATCACTGCCGAGGAGTGGAAGAAATGGCAGGAGAGAGTTGCACTTGCACTGCCGAGGAGTAGCAGAAATGGCAGGCGAGAGTTGCACTGCCAAGGAGTGGAAGGTCCATGAATGCCTCGGGAATGCCCGGAGAATGCTCTGCCCATCCTGAATGTCGGAGGACCTCCCCTATTTAAGGGCAAAGCTGGCCGGAGAAAGTAGTCCTCCGGCCCAAGGTGAGGGGGCTGGGTTCATGCCCGATGGCGAGGATAAAAAAGGAGTGAAAGGGGTCGCAAATGGATAAAAAAACCCGTTCGAGTACATGACACATGGACTACATCAAGGGTTGCCAGAGTGGATGTTTTCTAAGGCACTCTGCTTGCTGCATGCGGTTCGCGAGGCGTAGTTTGGACACCCCTGGGCTATATGAAGATCCGGGTGAGCCCCATTCCACACGGCTGGTTTCGCGTTCCGTGCCATCGAAGACACTGAAGTACAGGTTTAGAAGAAGCTACGAAGGAACTGTCCGGACCTCAACACCTGGAACACCTATGGCACAGGTGTGGCTGACACAGAGCAGAGTGCTTTGTGCCAGCTCCACCTCATAAACCGAGTATTAGTCATTACCGGGATTCTTAGTGAAGAGAGAAGCCAATATGACGAGTGTCATTCGTGGATTTCTTGAACACTTCATTACGCTGATCCAAGGTTTCTGCAGATCCACGAAAGTTATATCAAGTATCGATGCAGGAGATGGTACCTAGGGTATTCTTGATGATGTGGAATTCAATTAGATCAATATATTCCCTTCATTTCGTCTCCATTTTCATTTTAGTGGGTCAGAAACTTTCAGAACACCCTGTAGATGCGAATGACCACGAATAACAGTTACGATGTCAACGATACGTAATTATTACTAGTAATTCATCTCCTGGAGCCCCTGTCCCGCCCGTTTATATCCAAATAGTAAGTACATACGAGCATATTGCACATGCAATTATCAAATCGCACAATAATAAAAAAGTATCATATTCCTATTGTTCTCACTTTTTCGATCTGGGAAGCATGGCGATATATTCTATGAGATGGTCGAGGAGGGCGACTAAATTAGTACCCACGTTGCAAGGAAAGGAAAGAGGGCGAATTTTCCCGTCCAACCTATAGAAGAGAGAGGGTGAAATTGTGGGTCTTTGTCACTAACCCGAATCCATGGACTGCATTCCTGCTTCCACATCCTCGACCTTCTCTTCCTCTTTTCTCATGAGGTGAGGAGGTTTCGAAATACAAATGGGTTCATTCCCTTGAATTTCCTTCAGGAATTTCTTAATCTTTTTTGTAGTGATGTGAAACAGCAATTCGTCGGTTGACCCTTTTTTGGACTCTTTCCCCTTTTTTTCGTCGTAATTGGTGGAAGGTCCTGCATTGTCTCCATTCTTCTGGGCAAAGTAAGAGGAGCAGTCGATGGAGAAAATCTTCTTGCTTCTCATACCTGCATCTTTCGCGGATTCTAGGATGGAATGGAGTTTCCCGTCCGGAAATGTGAGGAACATGTAGGACCATTCTTCTGGGCAAAGTAAGAGGAGCAGTCGATGGAGAAAATCTTCTTGCTTCTCATACCTGCATCTTTCGCGGATTCTAGGATGGAATGGAGTTTCCCGTCCGGAAATGTGAGGAACATGTAGGAGACCTCTTCGACTCTCTCTTCACCTGCGAAGACTTGGACCATATGCGAAAGCGCAGAAATTTCTCCCGTCAGCAAACTCCTCTGCACATACAGATGGGACGGATAGAATATGGGAAGAAAAGGCTAAGGTTGGACCGGCGATTTCGTCCCGGCCAAAATGATCTTAGACTTCGCCAGTCCTTTTAGTCGTTGCACAATTTCATCGCAGGCACCGATCGTCGTGCTCTTTGTCACGAGGGCATTACAAGGGCTAGGAGCAGATGCAGCTTGCACAGCTCAGCGCGTGGGCTCCTGAAATTTTTTATCAGTGGCTTGCAGCTTTCCAACTGCCTTCGGTACTTGGACACGATCAGAACGGGGTTCATGATTGTGGTGACTTGGCCCTTCCGTCATTTATGGTATAGGAGCACATACTACCCTGACAACTTCGATGCCCACATCGTCATCTTATCTCATGGCACCTTCGCCTCTCTACAGTACAAAGATACCCTTCACAGTAAAGCTTTTCTTAACTTTTAGATGCCTTGAGGTATTCCAGTGCCATTAAAACGACTCTATTTACACGGATATGAACGCTAAATAACTGACAATGACGTCAAGAATGAGAGCGACCCCTTGCCATCCATTCCCTTCCCCAGCGAATATCCACAAGGAACACAGGGGGCTTATTTCTTTCTCCTTTTTCTTCGCCCCTTTCATCCGTACAACAGTCACTGCCTGCAACCATTTTGACCATGACGAAGACGTCGGTAACCGTCAATGCAATATCACAATGTCACTTATGACGAAATATGTTGCCAGCCAACTTAACTCAGGTAAAAAAATGATCATCGAACAGTAAAGGTCAGAGTTTCAACCTCTGAAGTTTAGGACTGGATCGTTGTACTCCTCTTCAGGTGATGGTAGCTTTCACCCCTCTGACCCATAGTGCTTTTGCAACTAAAATTGGGTTAGAACCGGTAATGATTTGAATGTCAACTGAGATAACAAATCCTTCGTCCCATCGGCTGACGCCATCACGAGCAAATAACTCGTCTTCTCGAAATATATGTCGGATTTCTGAGCATGAGGGATGACATCAACTTGAAAGATCTTCGGCGCTATTTCAAACAGATGTCACTTCGCATATTTCTATGAATCTAAACAGTACTGAGTTGAACACACTTTGTATGAATGGGCGAAAGATAGAGGAATTTTTCAGAAACTTAGGTTCTGCCTTTTCGAGAGTCCCATGAGGTAAACAAGTTAGGCAGTAGATTTTAACAATTAACGTTTACATGGACCGAGCTCAAAATAGGAATAATGGGGGTCTATACTCGTTGGGACTGTACTCGCTCGAACGAAGTTTAAGGAGGGACGATCTCATCAAGGCTTTCAAGATAATTAAATGAATAGATGATGTCGAGTGTGGTAGGTTTTTCCAGTTTGATGGCAACAAGAGAACGAGAGGTAACCAACTTAAGTTGCGCAAACCACTGGTGCGGCTCAGGTCGAGATAGGAATTCTTTATTTGCAGAGTGGTGAACGCGTGGAATGCGTTAGATGACAAAGTAGTGGCTGTCCCGCGCTGTGACTATCTTTAAGAAGAAACTATAAGCTTTCATGGACAGGCAAAAAGGTGAGGGGCAATGTTGACGTTAGGCACTAGACAGTAAGCAACTAGGATAGGCAAATAACAAAAAAAAACTAAAATACAAAAATATTTTGCTTTAAGGCCTACTCTAAAATTAAGGAACGCTCGACCTCGACACGTGATATCGAAATGGGCGAAATCGCCTCTTGATATCACTAACTGTCTTGAATCTTGAAACTGATCTATGATCTTGGGATGAGGAGCGAAAAACAACCTGAGAGCATGGAACGACATAAACGATGGCGTGGATGCCCAGTCCGTTCATGCGGATGAAATGGCGGATGTATCCCGCGGATGTAACCTTCTTTCGTCTCTGGTGTAAAAGGTGTGCGAAACTATTTCACGTGTCCGTCCTTCCACTTTCACCCGGAATCGATATGGATCCCGGAAACTCACTCCCAGTCCGTAATTCCCCATCGCCTCCACCACCAGGAAGTCCTCTACAAACTCGTTGGTGATTATGCCGACGTTATTGTGCTTCAAGAAACCAAAGTGAAGGACGACACAAACCCAAGACTAAAAATCCCGGGTTTCTGCCTCGTGGATATGAAGGGAGACGACCGTTACGGGGTGGCTACCTATACAACGGCCCGACTTGCAACGGTCGCGTCACGCCGCCCGGACCTCGCAACATACTTCTCAACTTGTGTGGACATTGTGGGCCTATTGATCCACAATGTCTACAAACCGCCGGGCTGCGTCTGGCCTCTTCCTGCTCTACCTCCCTCCCCTCATCCCTCCATATTTATCAGTGACTTTAATAGCCATCATTCAAATTGGGGGTACTTAGATAACGACATCGCGGGGAACCAAGTCATGGACTGGAGCTCCCAAGAAAATCTCCAGATAATCTTCGATCCCAAACAAAGAAGATCGTTCCACTCAGCTGCTTGGAAAAAGGACTATCAACCAGATCTATGTTTTTCCACTTCCGATCAGGACAATATCCCTCTCCCAGTAGCTGTGGCAGGCTTAGACGATTTCCCTCACTCTCAACACCGACCAATTGTATACCGCATTGGTCTCTCCATCCCAACGACTGAAGGAATTCCCAGACTACGATGGAACTTCCGCAAAGCTGACTGGACCCTATACTCCGACCGGATCGATAAAACCATCAACAGAATCCCGCCCNACCATATGCGAAAGCGCAGAAATTTCTCCCGTCAGCAAACTCCTCTGCACATACAGATGGGACGGATAGAATATGGGAAGAAAAGGCTAAGGTTGGACCGGCGATTTCGTCCCGGCCAAAATGATCTCAGACTTCGCCAGTCCTTTTTGTCGTTGCACAATTTCATCGCAGGCACCGATCGTCGTGCTCTTTGTCACGAGGGCATTACAATGGCTAGGAGCAGATGCAGCTTGCACAGCTCAGCGCGTGGGCTCCTGAAATTTTTTATCTGTGGCTTGCAGCTTTCCAACTGCCTTCGGCACTTGGACACGATCAGAACGGGGTTCATGATTGTGGTGACTTGGTCCTTCCGTCATTTATTGTGTCACATCACATACTACCCTGACAACTTCGATGCCCACATCGTCATCTTATCTTATGGAACCTTCGCCTCTCTACAGTACAAAGATACCCTTCACAGCAAAGCTTTTCTTAACTTTTAGATGCCTTGAGGTATTCCAGTGCCATTAAAACGACTCTATTTACAGGGATACGAACGCTAAATAACTGACAATAACGTCAAGAATGAGAGCGACCCCTTGCCATCCATTCCCTTCCCCAGCGAATATCCAAGAGAAACACTTTCTTATTTATTATATTTCTTTCTCTTATTTCTTTCTCTTATTTCTTTCTCCTTTTTCTTCGCCCCTTTCATCCGTACGACAGTCACTGCCTGCGACCATTTTGACCATGACGAAGACGTCGGTAACCGTCAATGCAATATCACAATGTCACTTATGACGAAATATGTTGCCAGCCAACTTAACTCAGGTAAAAAAATGATCATCGAACAGTAAAGGTCAGAGCTTCAACCTCAAGTTTAAAACTGGATTGTTGTACTCCTCTTCAGGTGATGATAGCTTTCAGCCCTCTTACCTATAGTGCTTTTGCAACTAAAATTGGGTTAGAACCGGTAATGATTGGAATGTCAACTGAGATAACAAATCCTTCGTCCCATCGGCTGACGCCATCACGAGCAAATAACTCGTCTTCTCGAAATATATGTCGGATTTCTGAGCATGAGGGATGACATCAACTTGAAAGATCTTCGGCGCTATTTCAAACAGATGTCACTTCGCATATTTCTATGAATCTAAACAGTACAGAGTTGAACACACTTGGTATGAACGGACGAAAGATAAAGGAATTTTTCAGAAACTTAGGTTCTGTCTTTTCGAGAGTCCCATGAGGTAAACAAGTTAGACAGTAGATTTTAACAATTAACGTTTACATGGACCTAGCTCAAAATAGCAATAATGGGGGACTATACTCGTTGGAACTGTACTCGCTCGAACGAAGTTTAAGGAGGGGCGATCTCATCCAGGCTTTCAATATATAGATAATTAAAGGAATAAATGATGTCGAGTGTGGTAGGTTTTTCCAGTTTGATGGCAACAAGAGAACGAGAGGTAATCAACTTAAGTTGCGCAAACCACTGGTGCGGCTCAGGTCGAGATAGGAATTCTTTATTTGCAGAGTGGTGAATGCGTGGAATGCGTTTGATGACAAAGTAGTGGCTGTCCCGCACTGTGACTATCTTTAAGAAGAAACTATATGCTTTCATGGACAGGCAAAAAGGTGGGGGGCAATGTTGACGTTAGGCACTAGACAGTAATCAACTAGGATAGGCAAATAACAAAAAAAACTAAAATACAAAAATATTTTGCTTTAAGGCCTACTCTAAAATTAAGGAACGCTCGACCTCGACACGTGATATCGAAATGGGCGAAATCGCCTCTTGATATCACTAACTATCTTTAATCTTGAAACTGATCTATGATCTTGGGATGAGGAGCGAAAAACAACCTGAGAGCATGGAACGACATAAACGATGGCGTGGATGCCCAGTCCGTTCATGCGGATGAAATGGGGGATGTATCCCGCTAACAATTGGTTCATTCCGGTCTCAAACTCGAAGAAGCCCGGGGTTTCGATGAGAGTAACAGCTTGGGGGAACCTTCGTTCGTCTCTGGTGTAAAAGGTGTGCGAAACTATTTCACGTGTCCGTCCTTCCACCTTCACCCGGAATCGATAGGGATCCCGGAAACTCACTCCCAGTCCGTAATTCCCCATCACCTCCACCAGCATAGATTTTCCTGCAGTTAAGAAAAGGGTGGAATCATTATTCGAGTCATGCCCTACATCGTCATCGAAAAAGTAGTCGAATTCAGAATGCTTTTTCTCCCCACCTACCTCTAAAAAAATTATCCATATACTTAAGAGGCTAATCTGTCATTCTGTCACTCTGGGAAACTCCTTTTAGACGGATGAACGGATTTTGATAAGTGTCAATCGAAAGTTTAGGACCTGAAGGCGATACTTATTGGGTCAAAAGTCCAAAATGTACGCTGTGAATGTGTTTTCTAAGGGTTCTCCTGTCTTTCTGAGCGTCAGAGGTAGACATTTCCGAGTTGAAACTGGATTGACCCGATTGGAATCGTGGCCCGCACCCGACCCGGAACGGAATAGTCGATCGAGCTTTGCTGGTCCGAGAAGAAGATCGTGTTGTGCTGATATGGCCGGCCCGCATCCCGCCTAGGCCTCTAAGCTTGAGAATTCCAGGTCTTTGATGACGTATTTTATCCAAAGGAGGAGGGGGGGAGGGGGACAAAGGGACCCTCGCAGACCTGCGCAGATATGCATTTTCGGGTGTAACGGTTCGGAATGAAGGGCATTCTGTGCAAGCAGACAGGGTGGCGAAGTGTGTCTTTGGTATGGGAAACCGTGCAAAACATTTATATCGGGAAATCTGAATCTCTTGAAAGCTTTCCTATACGCCGGAAAACCTCTTTCTTATGGATAGGTTGTATGAAATCGATGCCCTGCCATCTCTCATCCATAGGCATATAAATTTATAATATGCTTGGGCCTCCTTGTGTATGTCCGCAAGTGCATCTGCGCATGTGCGGCTCCTTCATGCCTGCCTCAGGGTGTACGCCTCCCTCTCTTCGGCTCGCACTTTTTTTTTCCGGCCGTTGCAACTGTCGGACCTATTTCGATATCGTAAGAGTATGCCTACGCCGTCCCCCCTCCGGGTGTTCACACCTCCGATACTGAATTATTTGCAGGGATGTGTACAAGTCCCCGCGCATCACACTTGGAGTCTCTTTCATACTTTATGGAAGGATTACTTTCTCGCCAGGGATGAGATCTCCACCCATATATTTCTCGGGATCGGGAAAAGTCGTTTCGTAGGCACGAACACCCCCGTGAGTATGGGGGGATGGGATGGGGGTGTACAATATGTACACTGTCCGAGCGGTTGCTACGCAGAGCGTTGAGAAAACCGTTGTCTAAATTCTCGTATGCCCGTATGCTCGTATGCCCCTGCGTGAAAATTTAAGCATTAATTTAATTTAATTAAATTTAATTAATTTAAGCACCTCACATTCGTCGGATAATATATGAGTGAAAGCGGCCGGATCCCATCAGGGTGGGACAGAACATGATGGCTTATTCTTGGCCCACAAAAGATGCCGCTGGCTGGGTAGTTTCCACCCCTTATCCATATCCGTATATTTCACTCATAGGCTTGCACGCAGTGATGGAGATGGTCTTTACGGACGAAGCGGACACGGTTGCAATCAATAGAGAAAAGTGTGATAAATGTAAGGGCGAGGATCTCACCCCGGCGAGGAAGTCATCTTCCCTTCAGCGGGATGAAAGGAGACTACAAGAATTGTACGTGGGGACACGTAAATAATGGGAAAGAGCTGCTGCTGCCAATAGAGAGAAAAATGTATATTTGTTACGTCCCGTACTTTTTGATTTGAGAAACAACCTGATTCAGCGAAGCCAAGGAAGAGGATGTTCAGACTTTCACCGCCTTGCAAATCTCCTCCCAGTCGGTATTGATTAGTCGTTATCGGCTCGAATGGAAGAAGGTAATTCGGGAGATTACATCCTCGGATCTCGACGCTCCTCTCTATCAACTCCGCATGCAATCCCTTCTCTTCTTTCGTCTCAGTCATTGGATCACTATCAATTACACAGTTAACGGGACCATCATTTCTCCTGTCTATCTCGTGCAAATTCACCGTACAGCATATCCTATCTTCATGCTGCTACCGTCTCACACGGCAAAGCAACTCAGATCTATTGGATCTGGACAAGCAATGCCCAGAAAATCCGTTAATTTAGCAAAGAGAACCTTCAACTGTTAAAATAATTGCGTGGCAGACCTTTAATGGTGTAGAATATATGTTATATTCCCAACCAGGACAAATTAGAACAATAACAACCATAAAATGAAATGATAAAATGAAAAGCCAGCAATAAAATTTTCGGAACTTGACCTAATACGCTTGAGAAAGAATTTTTACCCTGTTTTTCCTGAGTTCTTGGGCCGATGTGAAACACTGCTTTTCGCTGAAAAATCAAATAAATAATGAATTCAAGGGTTAAAAAACGTAGCTTAGTGCCACAATTCTGCAGCGACTGAATGTTCGTCTCCAGTAAAGAAAGTCTACTATTTTTATGCCGAACTAATACAATACGAAAAAAGTTTCATGGGTTTCATGGCGTTCAGTGGGTTGACCCTCTATCGACCAACGTAACCTCTGAGTAACAATGGTTAAGTTATATTTTACAGCTAGAAGTTCTGCTGCTAAAATGTTGCGATCCATCATAATCTTCAGCTCACACTCCGCATACGCAATACACACTAAGATTTTCCCATCTCTTCCCGAGTTCCCTAGATTTATTAACAGCGTAATATCCTTTGAAATGTGTATATGTATACATATACAGATGGAAAAATACCATAAATGAGGACAAATAATTTCAGATTCATACCAATTTACCTTAGGTCATGGAGCCGACTTAGATGGCAGCGTGACTTTCATTTTTTATCGCATTAATTTGTGCTACTATGTCGCAAATTTAGTTGTACTTCACGTAAAGGAACTACCTAGTCTGCTCCATAATATGTAAAGAATCGGGGTATTCTTCTGAATATCCTTGAAGAAATTGCGAATGCTGTCCATCGTCATCTTCGACAGGAACTCGTTGATTGATCCCGCCTTCGTCACTTCTCTCAGCTTATCTTTCTCATATTCTTCATTCTTGGCGAAGTAGGCAGAGCTGTTCACAGGGTAATGCCTCTTGTATTTCAGCCCCGCTTCTTCCACAGATGCTCGGACTGGGAGGTGTGGGCTGTCCGCGAACGAACAGAACAAATAGACTTTTTCAGCTACATCTCTGAAGATTTTGGTCACGTTCTCCAGCTCCATCTTCTGTTCCGCAGTCAATCTACCCTGCTTCCATGGACGAGATGACTATATTATCAGAAAAAAGTATTCCTAACCTACAGAGGTCACGCTATCCTATGGTCCCCTCAGAAACCTTAATTTTAAGATTAAGACTAATTTAAGATAATAACGTTCCTGAACTTTCCTCTGTGCAGTTTCCTTTTTAGACTATCAACTCTATGACTAGGTAAATCTGACTCGACCTAAATGTTCTTGCCATAGTCCGTATCGTGCGTTTTTCACTCTAATACTATCTGGATATGTTTACTGCAGGAGTCAATTCCATACATTTGCCTTCCGTTGTAGTGCATCGAGAGAATTGAGCGATCCGCATTTCAACCTTGCTTCAAGATTCAGCAGCGAAAGGAGAATTTTTATTGCCTATCTTGCTGCCGTTTCAATGCCAAGTAATTCATGATTGAAAGCGCCAGGACCACCTGTAGATATTCCCATGAAACCATTGAATGGATTCGCTTGGACTAGGCACCGATGTCTAACTTCCATGCCAAAGCGTTGGATTTTTACGTCCTTAATACGGACTGGATGTACAAGGTGGGTTCAAAAAATTCGGGGACTGATGTTCTCATATAATATCTTGAATGTGATCCGCTAACTATTGCTGCGGCAAGAAAGAAAATAGTGGGCTTCTATACCCTCAAAAGTGACGGGAGTACGGCTCTGCATTTTCGTCATGCGGTCTGCGCAGTCGGACGTGACGCAACTGATCACCGAAATCCAGAATGGGCGACTTTCAAGAGAAGCCATTTTGGGTCATAATTTGCTTCAAACTTGAGAAAACGGCGTCTGAGAACGTTGACATGCCGCAAGCACATTGTGGAGAGTATATTTTAACACATGGTTTTTATATGGTTTTCCAGTGAGGACCGGAAATCGACGGAAGACGACCCACGATGCGGACGTTCTTGGACATCGCGTACGGACGATGGCGTTCCGCCGCTCTCGAGAATCCGGTGTGCTCCAACAGGAGGATCACGGTTAGGGATGTGGTAAAGGATACAAACATATTTTAAAATCAAAACTTTGAAGGGAATTTACTTAATTTCTTCTAGCAAGAATTATGACTTTCGCTTCAAAGGGTTGGCGACTGAGGTTATTTTGAGGTCTATCAAAAAATACATAACTTTGGAACACAAAATGATAGAAAAATGTTTTTTTATTGGAAATTGAAATGTTAGTTTCCTATTTTGTGTTGTATTAATTCAGTATTATAAACAGTTAAAAGAGCGTACGATTACGTCCACCATCGTTCGTTGGTAGTTAGAACTGGACGTACAGTTACATCCGTTGGATCGAAAGTATTAAATGACTATTGACTATTTCATTTACTTATTTGTATCGACGATGATGAATGAAAGCAAAATAAATCCACCTATAAATGCATCCATGCAAGCATGCCAATTGGCATTAATCGCCACCTGTCTAGTCGTCATAGCCCAAAATTTACCTGTAGGACAGAAACAGAAACGCCTCAGCGTCTGTCAGCATCTGTCGAACAGACCACAAACGATCCTCAACAACTTCGCAACATCATCGCAGGCGATGGAACTTGGGATTCCGTTACCACCTCAGAACCGAACGCCAGAGTTTTTTTTTTTTACTTCAGGACCATTTCATCGCGATTTCGTACAGGAGATTGAAACGGTGAACCAGGCATTCTACCTGTGTGTCCCGAATCGCCTGCATGACGCCGTCTGCCGGAAAAGGCGAGGGAAGCAGCAGGCGGAAACGTGAATTCTGCAACACGACACTGCCATCTCCAGACCAAAGTTCCCAGCCAAGAATGCTGTCCCGACCAGTATGTTCTCGACCACGCGGCTTTGTCGCCTGATTCAGCTCCGTGTCACTTATTTCCCTTTCCCAAATTGAAATCAGCGCAGAAATGGAGATTTGAAGACAGTGTCAATTAACGAAACGAGAGCGCCTCAGGGGATTACAAAAGAGAAATATGAGACATGTTTCCAAAACTTGCAAGAGCGCTTGACAAGGTCTCTGCACCCGCAAGGATGCTTTGAAGGCAACAGTTCCCAATAGCTCATGCTTCGCACCATAACCCCAGGAAGAAATCAGTCCCCGATCGTTTTTGAAAACACCGTGTATAAGCACAGAATGTCACCCTTGGATGGGGATCTTATTGATGGCAACTGCTTCTTGGTAAAGAAGCCATTTCAAAGGGTAGCCCTGTAATCATAGATCACCTGCATTATGGACCCATGAAAGATATTGGTTCAGGATTGAGAGTATGTTGTTCTCGGAAAGTTGGGAGAAGAAAGAACCTGGGAGCCTTGGACGACGTAAACGACAGCGTGGACGTCCAGATAGTTGGAGTGGACGAAGGTACAGATTTGCTCCGTTCCCTTTTGGAAGCCCGGAGTGTCGATGAGACTGACCGGACGGGGGAATCTTCGAGCGTCTCTAGCGAAGAATGTGTGGGAGATGCTTCTGTCTGTGGATTCTTCCATCTTCACTTGGAATCGGTAGGGATCTCGGAAATCTACTCCCAACCCATAATTTCCCATCGTCTCCACCAACATGGACTTCCCTGCGATCAAGGATATGTTAGTCATGCATTGCATTTTCACCGGAGAAGCGGCATCATACGACGCTCGAGATGACCTGATCCAGTGAAGCCGAGGAAGAGGATATTCATGCATCGTCCGCTTTCCTGATATTCACCCAATCGGTATCGGTCTCCTTTAGCAGTGATGGGCCGAAATGGAAGAAGGTAGGTCGGCGGGTTTTTCCCTTCTATCGGAATGCTATTTTCCATGAACTCCTCATGGAATAATTTCTCCTTTTCTGTCTCCATAATTGGACCCTGAACAGTTGAAGAGTTGATCATCATTGACTGTCCCATGCAGGCCCACAGAGATAATGCCGATCTTCATTTTCCGACCATCTGAATTTACAGCAAGGATTCTCCTCTGCAAATTGTTCTTTAAAATTCATCGAAGAGAGAGCTTAACATTAACTCCATGCACATTGCCATACCAAATTGGTAAATACAATCAAATTGAAAATGTTTAAAGAAAACGACTAGGAATGTGGAATATTGTCCTGAATTCTTTGACTGGATCACCGTTGACAGTCGTGTAACATGTCTAAACACTATTTTTTAACGAAAAAAGTCAGAAAATCTTATAGGAGAGGGTGGTTTGTGACGGTCTGGGTAGTCGCCCATTCATAATGAATCAATGCCGCTGGAAACACTACAGAATCCAGTCGGCACAATAATATTGATTCACCGTTGATGAGTTGTTGACGATGTTGAGGGGGTGTTGATCCTGATGTTCCATTGTATAGTAAACCTTGACTGGATGTTGAAAGTAACATTTTTGCGAGGACACTTTACAACAACAGATGTCAGGCGAGGCATCTGCCCTTTATTCGAAAAAATACGTTTCCCTGACCCAGAAGTGAGATGGCAACGATTCGCCAACACAGCGAGTTAATTCATATACATATATGCAACCGGCCCACGTCCCCAGTACTTCGGGAAGGATACTGTCACGTATTAAAGTGAGGACAGTCCCAGCATTAATACTTGACGGGGATTCTTAGGTCTCGGGTTCGGTCCAGTGAACTCAGGAAAGGAAACTACCTTTTCACTTTCAAAACGAAGGGGAATTTATGTTCCCGTTCTCTACTTCCTTGATCGATCCCAAGGCCATGAAAACAAAATCCAAAAGGAAAAGAAAGAAAGAAAGGAAGGGGAACATACAAACAGACACAACACATACTCAGAGAAATCGGTAAATCGAGATGAAATACTTCTCTCAGTTTTCGCGTTTCGATTTATTTTTCTCAACAGAAAAAGACATCAACTGGATTTTCGATTTATATCTCTCGCTTCCCGACCGTGCAGGGTCGCCTGAAAAGCGTTCGCAAAACCAAAATGCGTCTATAGCCGAGACGGAAGGGTGTTTTGAGTGGCTGCGCATCGTCTAGACACATGTTAACCTCCGTATTCCACTTCATCGTGAAGAAGAAGCCCCCTCCCCCTCCCTCCCTCCCTCCCCCCATGAACCCTTGGGGCAATGCATTGATAATCGAGGGATTCACACGCAACCGCCTGAGTGCATGGCCTCTTCGCCACTTCACCTTCCCTCCGACACGTGCGAGTCGCTCGTGCGTCTCGAAGGGATTCCCATGTAACCGCTTACTTCATTCTTCGAGTCCAGTTTCATACGGTGTTAGTATTCCGTTTGGTGCGTTGGTGGTGCAACACGTATAGCCAATATGAGATCCGACTGTTAACTATGGATATTTAACAGTCCTTTAAGAATACATGAATTCCTATGGGAGAAAAAGAGCTCCTTCGCTAAAAGCCCCGTTGTCTCCTTTAATGAGGTTCGTGTATTCGGGCTTTAAGCTCAAAAGCCACTATATTCCCACAATAGGACATGCGAGGCAAATTTCGATGTGGCTGAAGTTCATCACGAAATGTTCAATGCAGCAGAAGCGCATAATATACCTGACCTACAGTATACCCGCAGAATCAAATTAATGCATTTTCGTCGAGAAAAAAGTTGTCTTCCATGTGATGCGCGTATTTATCGCGTACAACATTTGATGCGATAACCGCATCCAAAATTCTATGCGATGAAGACGCATCATATACAGGACAGATTTTTTCGCGAGAAAAATGCATCGAACTGAGGCACTGAATTTTCTGTGTGCAAGGAACATAGAGAATGGCCGCGAACCCAAGGAAAAGTTACCCCAGTGAACTATAAAATGGACTAAGTTCCCAAACCTCCCTCCCAGGCCTACCCAGCACGTTACTCTCTGCCTTTCCCAACCACACTCTCTCGAGTCTCCTCTCTCTATCTCTATCTCCCCGCTCCCTTCCCAGTTCGGAGGTTCCACCTTCTCTCGGGACGGGACCCCTTATTGAACCCTTATTCACTGTATGGAGGTTCGCGATTGGGAGGTACTGGAAGGCGTGCCTGACAATGTATATAATGAGGATGAGTTATACTGGCGTCTTCTTGTTTGTAACTATTGGAAATTATGGGCTTAGCTGTCAGGACACTGGATCCGGAGAAAGGGTTGTGAGATTCCCAAGATGAAGTAATTTTGGGTTTTTCGAACTTTCCCCTTAGTTCTTTCCAGCCTATATAACTCCCCGTATCGATAAAATAATAAAACACAAGTGGGTCAATTTTAAAGGGCAAAGGATGAGTTGCTGTGGAACTGGCTGTAAACTGATGAGAGTGGTTCCTTCGGTATCCTGCATCAAGTCTCTGGGTACAACACCCTGGTCCCACAGGAACGTCTAGGGCCCCATTGCAAGAAGTTCACGTCACGGATGGCTTCTGAGCCTGTTGCATGATGGGGAAGTTAGTAATGAGGTCAAAGGATGGGCCGCGTATTTTCTATATGCTTCAATACTTAATATTTTCTCCAACACAGGGGGGGGGGAATTAGAATTCCTGGATACTTTCGACGACAGGGACAACCCAACCCAACGAGACCTACACTCTCAGAAAAAGGGGAGCGATTTTTCTCAAAAAAGTGAGCAAAATAGCTAACTCCAGTTTCACTCCCCTTTCACTCTGGGAAAGGAACAAATTTACTCCATCATGAAGGAGTAAAATTGCTCTCCTCCTCCGTGAGTAAAAACGCTTCCATCAGAAAGTGATAGGGATGTCGTGCAAATGCGAAAAATTCCTTATATACTGTGTGTCGCTATCTCTCTCGTACATGCGCTGACCTACCTCTGACTGTGTTGATCACACCACACGTCAGAGGGTGGACCACCCCTTATTGGTTCCNGGAGTGACAAAAGGCAAGGTACCAAACGATTCTGCGAGGGACGATTCCAAGGAAAGAGAGAAGATAACTTTTGTGTACCGTGCGAAAAGCCAGACCCTTACCGCCATCTAGGGGCCTGGCGAAGAACTTGAAGGTGTTCACTTCAATACGTGCGATGAGGGAGCATTTTGTTAGTAATAAGAGAGTAAATTCGAAAAGCTCACGGTGTGCTCACTTTTCACTCCCCAAACGCTCGGAATTTTCTAAGAGTGTAGGGTATCTATGCACTACTACATGCTTTCCCTCAAGATTACTACAGGACCCAGGGAAAAATGTTGCAGAGAAATCAATAAACTTCTATTGAGTTTTCTATGCGGTTCCATTGAATTCTAAAGCCCGCTGGTTGCGCCTGGATAGGACTCTATACAGATTGGGGTGTTCGACGGTAAGGGACTAGGAACCGCGCAAGCGAGAAGGAAACACGTAATACCATGTAGGTAGTGTTCGGTGACGGCGAGTGAACGAAAAATCTGGCTGGCCAGCCTGTCATTTTCATGAGCAAGAAATTATTGTAACAATGGGAGCATGAAGCACGAAAGATGTGTTTCGATCAGCCTTTGTTGCTTGATGGGTCCCACTGGTTCAAGCGGCAGGTAGCTGCAATGAAAGACTGAAAGTTCCATGCTGACAGTTTATATATAATGGAAAATGTGTAAAAGTAGGACAGACTTTGAAACATCCGTGGATCACTTGAAGATGAGAGGTGCATCCGGCCCGAGGAGGAAATTATCGGTCCCACGACTCACTCCTCTTGCGAGTTTGGGGACTTCTAAACAATACCGCATCTTGATAATGTAGCAAATATCACGATCACAAAAACTATGGGTGGATTTTTGAACAGAGTACTATCCGATAATGCTGCTTTATTTACCGGATTTATAATGCATTTTCTCAGAAATAAAGCTGCATTATCGGATAGTTCTCTGTTGAAAAATCCACCCTATGTTTCTGTCTTATCCTTTCGTGGAAATTGCTTGGATACAAATCGGCAACGCGGACTAAGATGAACAAGCGGCTTTCTAATTTCGGGAGAGGAACCTAAAAGCATGCCTGTGCTTGCTAGCAGTCTCCCTTCATACACGATGCAACCGGTGAGGCTGGTCTCTGCTACCATATGATTTTGTATCGTGAGTGATATGTGCTATGTGAGTGCTACGTGATACCCTTCAGGTGCCAACATACGCCATGATTTTGCTAACATATGACTTCTCCCATATGAGTTATGAGCTCGTGTAATCAGGGTCTAAGAGCGACTCATAGACTCACATGTGATTGGGATACCAACTCATAAGGTCTTGAGACATCCTTCACTTTCTTGTAGTCGCTCATAGTTAGTGTGCGAGAAGATTAGTTTGTTTGCTCAGTTAACATGGCGCTTCCCTCATGACTGAATCGACTTTCTTGATTTTCGGTTCATCGTGTGTCAGCAGTTCCATGAAGGTATCATGATTCATCCTTAGAAGAGCACGGAAACGATGGGGATCTTCATCCCGTAATAATCAGAAAATATTTGTTCCGAAATCCTTTTCTCACAGCCTCGCTAGCCATTCTTGCATCCACACACGTCTGTCACATTTTATACTTCCTTGACATCCTCTAATCCTTCCCAATAAAGTCCCAACCAATAACAAAGTGACTCCAGCAGTCAAGTGTTCACTCCCCGGAAAATTCCATCCTGATCTCAACAGAGCGAATGAAAGAATGGAACTAAGCACGCGGGAGACGTTGTATATACTGAAAACTCAAGAGGTCCTCCCATAGCATCTCATCACTTGCTCATAGCAAATTCACTCATATGCGAGCATTCATATTTGAGTGAAGTCATAGCGTGTGACGCTGCTTTATCCATTGCCCGGGGAGGCCTCGAGGCTCTGGCCTCCTAGATGGAGGGCCAGACGTTCGGTTCGTTCAGTTTCTCGTATCCCGAAGTATTGATACATGCTCTTTTTTTTTACAGTCATTCGGTGCTATTTAAAGTGCAGCAACCTACCTCCTTAGAATGTCACCACTTGAGATGGAACAAGTATCTGATGCACAATCCCCATGAGGATTTCCAGCAGTTCACAATGGCAATTTATGCCATATCCCCCCCCTCAACAGCATTAACCAAAGCTTACACGACTTCATCATGAATTCATCGGATATGAGCCTTCAAAAGGGCACTTCACTTTTAATTAAATTCTTGATTACCCTTGTACAATAGAAGAAGAAAAACTACGTTTCATTATTTGTCTATTCTTTATCTTTTCCTGTGGGAACACTATTTGGATAAGCTTATTTCTATATAAATTTAATAGTATATGAATCGATTTCTTACACATTGACTTTACAGTAGTTCATGAAGTTTAATATGAATGTTGTACGATTTCCATACAGTGACACAAAGAAGTTCATACAACCCTATTGAAATTCTGTAGAATTTCTTTACAGCTTCTTCGTAGAATTCTATAGAAATTTTATTTGATTATTGATGGAAATTGTATGGAATCTCTATAGAATTTTCCTACAATGATTTAATAGAGCTCCATGAAGCGAAATAATTGAATTCCATGCGACCCAATATAATTCATCTCATAGAGGCTCTATAAAACTTTTTTTGCCTGGAGAAGTAAACGTGTTTCATTCTTTCTCCAGGAAACAAGACCTTGCAGCAACAGAGAAGCCTTGGAGACATCCCTAGTGCCTTTTATAGAAGTAATGGAAGAATCAGACCTGAAGAAGCTGAGAGGATCCTCAGGGAGATGGAAAAAGAATGCACAGCCCACGAAAATCTGAGGTGAGACGCTTCCAGCACTTCAAACTGATTTCTAATCCGTTTCGTTTGAACCCTTTCCGCAGTAGTGGGTCTCTTCCAGGAGACATCTCTCTTGTTCCTTTCTCTTCGTCGTGCCATGGCGTATACGACAGAGGAGCTTCTCGGAATAAAAAAAACTTTCGCCGTGATTGACAATAATATAAACGGGATGCAGACGACCTTGTGAAAAAATGAAATGAATAAATAAATATATATGATGGGGAAAAGCCTTACACGGAAAGAGCTCGGTCGTTCAGGGTGTCTCAAAGTTGCCTGTGTCCCGGGACAAGGTCACTTTAGGCAAGATATTGTTACCGTTTTACGGAGTTGTAAGCCGTTGGATCTTGATCCTTAATCCGGCGGTATTATTCGAGAACTCTGATTCTCAGGTTTAATGAAACACCTTTCGCCGGCGGGGTACTAGGTGTCAGCCCCAGTAAACCTTCCCTAGCTGATTATTGATTCCGGAGGTTCGGAATTCAGTGGATCCAGATGGACAGAAGACCAAAAGGAACTCGGTGACAACACAAGAAAAAAAATTTTTTTCTGATCCTTATCACAAATGTACGCAATCTGCAATGAACGAGCTGCTTAGGTTTCTCATCACTCGGCGAGGCTAAATGGTCCGGGGATGGCGAAAGGGTCCTTGCTCGCTGAAGGGTATCAGGCGGGGTCCTCTACGGTCGTGGATGGAGAGCTACGTCTCTTCCACGACGGTACCGCAAGGGAAAGAACGCATCCTCGCGATTCGGCCGGCTCAAGAGTGGTACTTGCCCGGCTATGCGGCCGGCACCTTATCTACTCGTCGCCCCGGCCGGCTAAGTTTCAGCCCGAGGTCGACTAAGGGGGAATTTCCCAAGAGCACAGTCGGACCTGTTTCGGGAAATTACCTCTCCAAGTCGCAAAATGTAAACAGTCCATACTTTCAGGTGCTTCTGGACTTAGGTTGTGCCCAGATTCAACCACTTCCCGTCCTGGTCATGGAGCTTTCGAGAGCTGGACACTCGGTGGTCCAGATGAATAACTCTCTTAGTCAAAAGAGTTGTGGATAGGTCGTTGCTGCAATCTGATTGAGGCGCACTGCCTGGGTGTCCTTGAGTGGACAGGCCCCCAGGGACTGTGAAGCCATCGTTGACGGGACCTGATGTCCTTTAAATTCCGGGCAGGGACACTTCCACTCCGTTTCCAACTACTAATCCAAGGTCACTAGAGGTGTCTTTAACAATTTCATTCCTAATTAGAAATTAGGATTTTAATATAAAATATGCCTTTTATTTACGAACACCGGGGTTCGCTAGCGAAATCAAGCGGCGTAGGCTGAAAGTACAGATCAGCGATCAATCGCCCCCCCCCCCCCACCGGGGTCGCATGTTTCTACTCTCTTAATGCGACATTATCATGTATAGGAGGATGACATGGTTAGCATAAAATGCCACGATGTATGCGATCTTCAAGTAGCTCTTGAATTAGCGTAATACATATTGAATTAAATGCTTATTTAATTTAAAACGTGAGTCACAGTATCTGCCCCAAGTGGCAATTTTGAACCGAAAGAAATCCATCGGACTTCGACTCAAGGACACTTCAACATCCAACGCATATTCTCCTTGGACATCCAGTGCATGACTAAATGTCTCGTCCAAAGATAATCCTTGGACATGTCCATCAGATGACTTATTGGCTGTCCGTATCTTCAGATCCAATGGAGATTCCCGATGGAAGAGTCGTTTGATGACCATGGAGGGGTCCGACTAAAGTCATCCTCCAGAAAGCAATCGTACAAAATTTGCTTGCACGTGAATGTTCGTAGCACTCTGAAGGGCATTGTTAACCTTAACGTTTTTCGCATATCTGCAGTCATATGCAAGTGAAAAGGCAGCATTTTCCGCTTACTTCCGATCTCGTAGTTCGGAGACGCTAAGCTCGCTTTCCCAAGTCCCTAGGAGGATCTGAAGGAGAAGCGGGCGGATGGGAAATAGAGAATTATTGATGAACGTCATGGGCTCCCAATCAATAGGTTGTGCTCCTCATCGACATTGAAATTAACTCTCGACTTCCTACTCTCACCATGCATTGAGTGAAAATGACCTGAAGGCTCCTTGAACTAGGTTGCGTCTATCAACTAATGTATTACTTAATATTAAAACTACATTTTACTTTCCGCTCGTTTGTAGGAAAATATCGAGCACTGGATGACAGCTTCTGCAGAACCATGCAGTAGCATGTGGAGAAGCGAGGCACGCACAGCGGCGACTTCAGCGCGACCTCACTTATATGAGTGGAACTTTATATTCATTGAATAAACTACCAGATGTCGGGTCAGACGAAAGGCCTCAACGAAGGCCGTCCTCCGGAAGGATGAGACACCGGGAAGGGTTGTCCTCCGAAGTTCCTTTGTTGAACGTCCGATGGATGCCCAAAGACGGACTGACACATATTTTCGTTTGTAAGGCCGAGTACTCTAAATGGAATCATTCACTGTTCCAATTACAATGTCATGTTAGAAATACAATGATTGAAGTTACTGGGTTCCGAACAAAGATGAGAGATTTGAAGAATAAAAACTCCAAAAATCCAACTATCGGATGCTAGGATGTAGCTCAGAATCAATGAGAAGATATACATGGCCAGGAGATCCTCTGAACATCCGAAGGATTAACGTTTGTGGGGTTTTATCCATCTTTCAGCAACTGGATTGTGCATGGATGATTTTTGGATCGCATGGGCCTACTTTTTTAAGAAGTGTTCTATCACCTTCCTAAGATTATTGATTATCAGAAACAAACACTTATTTTTAGTTTCGAGCCTTGACTCATATTGAGCGGTGTGCTCACTGCACCAGCGATCCACCAAGCATCTTCATGCCGAGTCCACGCCGGCTGATAACCAAGTAGCGTCGACGGGATCCTCAAAAAGCATGCGCCACCCACTATTCAAGTGAACGCGAGCAAAAGGAGGGAAGCAATCAGATGCAATGGCATCGTTATGACGATCCTCTGCTTTCCTGGGGGATCCAAGCAAAATTTCCCCGGTTGAGGGATTTCACTGATGCGTTCCTAAAAGCAAAATTTCACGAGGTGCAATCAGAAAGAAATAATGAAAACTCACTTTGAAAAATCGACAATTGACAGCTTCAGGCAGTCTTGAAAGGCTCGGAGAAATGCTCGGAGGCGTTTCATCCACCGGTGAAAGGCCAATCTCAGAGACTTGGATGAGGTGGAAAGTCCCTTTCGAATGACATCTCACGAACGATGCCGATGAAGTGATGCCTCGAGAATGATGTCACCTTGCCTGCCCGCCCCTATCTAGAATTTTTTTTTTTGTGGAGATTTTTCACTTTTCCACAAAAACCGTGATTTTGGCGAAAACTGGAAACTGGCTTTATCTTCCTCTGGTGGCCATTTTTGCAAGCAGAGCGAATTTTTTTTCAATCATGTTCATCGAGATTCACGAACATCGATTCGTGTCGAAATTCTCGTCTGTCAATTTTGACAAAATTTCCCTCACTTTAGACGAAACACAAGACGCCCTCAAATGGGAAATGGATTTGATATTGAGCTATCGTCACGAAGCGTTTTGAAAACCTAATTAACATACGGAGATATGTCACTCAGAGTCTAATTACAATGCAAACCTAGCGATTTTCTTTGCTCCTTTCAGGTTGACTGGCATTACAAAGGAAGATAATTACTATCCGAGTGCGTAAAGAAAACTGAAGAGGAAACCCGGCCGTGACATTATTGCCACCTGCTAGGTGGAATGATTGCCACTTTCCAGGCGGCATCATTGCCACTTGCTTTTAGGCATGATTGGCACCCGGTGCCTCCCACAATTTCAATTCCGGCATCTGTGACGACCACGAAAACAAAAACAAAGAAACTGTGACCATCACAAGTAAGCTTAACAAGACAAGCGTTTTTACATGTGTGTTTTGCACATCAGGGCAAGCATGAAGGATTTGAAAGCGCTTCCATGGAAACGATGGATTCACCGAGCGTCAAATGTTTCTGCTCTTCCTCCATCTTTTCAGGAGTTCAATGAATTCCCACGAAAGCCGAAAGAATTGAAGATTCAATATATTGTTGTAATCTTTTATTCTCTTTTCCGTTTTTTTCTTTAACGGCAGTGCTGCCCGTCGTATTGTCATCAAAGGGGGAGTGAGAACAGAGGGAGGAACACTCCAGGCGGCTGCTATGTTTCAAACTTTCTCCCTTCCAAGTACTAAGTGCTGGAAAGCGTCGATCATGCCACTATTCGCTCGGATGATCCTCTTTAATGAATTGGTCTGATTACTCTATGCATTTTCAATCTAGGACGAGAGTAAAAAGGCAGGAAATAATGGACACATTGAAATGAAAGATCATTTTTTGGCAAATCAAAGTACTTTCCTGAAATATGAATCGTCGCGAAACTTGATTTAAAAATGGAGGTGGGTTTTTCCCAAAGTCAAACGCTGCATATCTCTGAAATGAATATTTCCTCGAAACCACGACTGAAAAACTCATTGACTAAAAAGCAGAACTCGGAGGAGAAAATATTTCCCTTCTCTTTGACGCGCAAACATAGGTAAGCAACCTGAGTTCGCGGTTTGGAGAATTTCTGAAGCTTTGCAAAGACGAAAGTTGCATGGAGGTCCGTCAAGCGCTTCGAATCCCAAGACCCCTTTAATTGTTGCGCATGGGGCTGGAGTCAACCGCCCTCATTGGAAAATATATTTCAAGAAAGAATCTGCACAGATTATGGGGATGCGGTTATCGACACAAGTGGAAGACTGCTCTATCAGAATCATAGATGATTTTTTTTAGACGTTACTTGACGAGCTAGTAACTTAGTGGGAGCATGCCGCAGTTGCAATTTCTTGTTCAATTTAGAGTACGTTTGGATGCGCATCCCGAAAATGCTCCGAAGAAATGTCATGAAGTTTTGCATGAGACTCTCTCAAATAATGGTATAACTATGGTAGTTAGCGTTTGTACGAAATGCATCTGTGACCGGAATGACAACCTAATAAGTACATTTAAGTTTTAACTTCAAACAATAAATCACATGTTTCACCTTTGACTTATGGTGCTAGGACGTATTGTTGGCATTGAATTTAAAGAGCAATGTTACAGTTATACGAAAGCGTTGATTTCACACCTCTGAACTAAAAAGTTTGGAGTTATGTCAATTTTAGAATAACCCAGTCAATTTTCATCTGGCTTGAAGCTTGAAGAACGAGCTTCTGCGAAACTGTAGATCGGAGATCACTGTGAGCAACCTGCTTCCTCTCCTCTAGATACCCCTTACAATATTTATAAGCCAAATTTCACATCTCAGACCCTCGTTTTTTGAGTTCCTTCCTCCCTCAAGATTAAATATTTTTCTAACGATCTTAACTCTGGAATAAACTGATTGCCATATTATCAGCAGTGAAGGTCAGAGTTTCCAACCCCAGAAGTTTGACTGAATTGTTGTACTCCCTCTCGGTTTCAAAAAGTGTACCCACGTTTTAAATAACTGCACAACTGAAGGAAATAAAATCAAATATTAGCATTACTTATTAATAAATACTTAATACAATATTGTATCTCTTCATAACGTTTCACGCACTGGAGATGCTCAAATTGAAATCCACAAGCATTTAAACATTTAAATGATAATAATGACTACGTTACAGAGAAGGAGTTGGTACATTTTTTGCACCACAATGTATATGTAAGATTGCTGCGCGTGGTGGCCTCTGCTTGAAAGAGCCTCAAGGCTATTTCGAACATATGCCATCCCCTGTACTTCTTGGCTCCAGCCAAGTCTCTTCCTCCATCTTTTCAAGTGTTCAATCAACTCCCGTGAAATCACCGATGAGGAATTGAAGACTCAGTAATTTGTTAGAGTCTTTGACACTCTTTCCCGCTTTCTTTTAGCCTAAATGCATTGATTTATTCTTGATGCAGTTATTCCCACTGTCAAAAAGACTTGAGAATGATATAATTAGGTAAATTAATAAACTAACAAACAAAAACACAGAACTTCTTCCCGCAAGGAGTATAAAAGTAATCCATGAGTGAGCCGAAAGACGCATATCTTTTTTACGCCTCCCAGGAATAAATGTGGAAAGGTCCTTTCTCGAGCGAACAGTTGATTCCAGATATGAAGAGAAAACACGCATAAAGAAGCATTTCAGTTTATTAGATAATAACATATAAGATGATACATCTTTNGAGTCATTTTTCCTGTTCCAGAAAATAATGACATGAAGGTGATCATATGACAGGTCTGTCATGAAGAGAATCGTTATTGATCAGATCTTCCTACCTGCTTCCGGTCAAAGCGTTACAAAGTCACTAAGTACAAATTGAATAGGACAAGAGTTTTACAAGCAATCTAGAAGTCCATGCAACTACTGAGGCGGCCTGAAGCAATTAAACTTCATTTGCAAATGAAAAGTCCAAAATGTTCGGATTTACATTCGTAAATTTCCCCTTTAACGATTTGAATATTTGGAAGAGCCTCAGTACTAACTTTTGTATAATCCAACCGATGAAAGCACAGAATCTATCTCCCATCGTCCGGGTCTCCGCAGGGGGAATATCCTCGTCTGGCTCTATCAGAACACTCTCCTCGTCAGGCTTCAAGAGGGTATCCTCCTTTCCATACTTCTTTCCATCCTCCTTTCCATCCTCCTTTCCATCCTCCTTTCCATCCTCCTTTCTCTCCTCCTTTCCATACTCCTTTCCATTCTCCTTTCCTACACACCAAAGTGGCAATCATTTGTATGAAGTCAAGTTGGGTATGACAGAATTTATGGAGAAAGTGGAGGGAGGACTCACTTGGGCGAAGATCGCGGACTTCAATGGGGCGATTCCGCTCGATATCCGCGTAGAATTCCTGATAGCTCTTCGTCGTCATGTCGAACAGCAGTTTATTGATGGTCCCCCTTTTCTCTTCTTTCTCGTCTTTCTCGTCCTCGTCACTGGAAGATCCGTTTTCTTCCTCTTTGGCGAAGTAGGAGGAGCTGTTGACGGGGAAATCCATCTTGTAATTCAGTCCAGCCTCTTTCACGGATTCTATGACGGGGAGCTTCTTGCCGTCCGCAAATGTGCAAAACAAATAAGAGATCTCCGGGACTCTCTTGTGCTCTTCGAAGACTTTGGCCATATACCCATATACCATTCTTTGCTCTGTCGTCAATCTCCCCTGTTGAAATAGACAAAATGATTATACAGTAGCTGGCGAAAGGAACTTCTGCATCAAGCGCAGCTTGAGGGAAGAATAATGCCGCATGAGGAAAATTGTTCATGATCATTTTAAGTTTGAATGATAAAACCAATTCTCTCGTCTCTGATATCACTTTAATCAGATTCGATGATGGCGTAACGGTTAACGGGTAACGATTGAGTAACATGAGAAAGTACTGAAGGCTTATTCTTATCAAATCAGAAAAATTATCACTGAGTTGGAGATTTAGGTAGACTCCCGCTTCGATTATGCGAATCTTGTTTCTTCGAGCAATCTACCATAGGAAATGTCCGCTCATGTCCTGTAAGCATTTCAGACATGCGTTGCAGTTGTTATGAGTGTTATTGGATCGATGTGATAACAAAACGCTAACGATAGGATGACTGCACATGTATGTTGCTTGAAGTTTCTGCATTCACGCTGCTTTGAAAATTATTGAAATTACATTTAGACACGCTGTCGATGCTTTTTCTGTGTCCATGGGGGATGCCCCAACGCTGAACCCCTGAGAAGAGCCACTCTTGTTTCTCAATATTTGTTTCTCATATGCTTTGCTCATGACTTCTTATGATCCTTTGCACGTACAAACTAATTACGGGAACGCGAAATCTTCGCATGACCACTACAGAAACATCGAAGGGAGAGGTCGTGCTGCACTACAGCAACGTCACTTACACATTACGGCCTGGGTACTTGGCTTTTCCTCCCAAGCCATACCTCTTTATATGTCCAAGATGATTATGTCACAAGAATAGCCTAGGATGACCATAAAACTCCTCCTCAAAATGTTAAACTTTACATTTATAAGAAATAAATTAATTTTTGTCTTGGACAAAATCCTTCATGACCGGATGACTCCTCTACTTAATGAATTCGATGAGCCGAAATTAAGGGCTTCATGTATAAATATTCACTATGACCTCTGATTGGCTGCATGGCTTTGGTTGATATATTGGTCGATCACTTAACGACAACGAGAAGAACGGGCATAGATAGAAAGATATTCCATTGACAGGTTCTACAGTACTTACTCCAAATTTGGAGTCCCTTGGATGAAATTAGCATCTGGTTTTTTTTATAATAATTTAAAAATATGGGTAAATAAGCGACATTATCTTCTATTTTTATGGACTTAGCCTGAGAGAAAGATCAGTCTACTTTCCGACGCGGATTCAAGAAGTTCCAACTAGAATCCATTTCTTTGTAGGGACGAAAGGAGAAGAAGCAACCTGGGAGGCTTGCACGACATAAATGATGGCGTGGATGCCGAGCGCATGGTTGGATCCGATGAATGCACGGATGTCTTCCATCAACTTCCAGTCCTCCCCGAGCGTGCCCTTTTGGAAGCCAGGCGTGTCTATGAGGGTGACAGGACGAGAGAACCTTCTTTTGTCCCTGGTGAAGAAGGTGTGCGAGGTGATCCCCTCAGTGGGTCCGTAGTCCTTCTTCACGTGGAATCGATAGGGATCCCAGAATTCCACTCCCAGAACATAATTCCCCATTGCCTCCACCAGCGTCGATTTCCCTACAATTACGATGAGTGCAAGGACTTTCCAGATCGATTTGGCTTCTTACTTTTGAATGTGGTACTATATAACACGAGAGATAACCTGATCCAGTCAAGCCAAGTAGGAGGACGTTCAGGCATTGTTTATCATCCTCATCTTCTCCCAAACGGAATCTACCACCTGCAGTCGGAATGGGCTGGAATGGGAGAAGGTAGGCCGGCGGGTCCTCTCCTTCTATTACTTTGCTTTCTTTTCTCAAATCCTCAATTTTCCCTTCAAATGTCTCCTTCTTAGGATCCCTAGAAAGAGCACATTTCACATTATCTCTTTCTGGTTCACCTCTTATTACCTGATATTCCTTGATTGGGTTATCTGCCAATCTTAATCCTGATACATACATTTTTTTTTCATTTGCACTGCCCCCAGATATATACAGGGTGCGCAACATGTTCTATATGCTATATTTTTGGCTATAACTTTGCTGTATTTCATCCAATTTCCATCCAAATTTTCATCAAACATAAGAAACACATACGGCAACAATACACTATTAGGACTTTTCAAAATCTCCCCCGTCGGCAGAGATATAGGCTTTTAAAAGCTTTGGAAAGTTGTCCATGGTAGCCGTCAGCTGTTCGACCTTAATGTCATTCCAAATCGTAAGAAAGTCCTTCTTCAGCGAATCCACACTGCTGTGCGGTGTGGAGCAGGCCTTCTCCAAAATGGACCACGCTGCGTAATCATAGTTTGAGATCTGGTGAGTTTGAGTACCAGACGTCCTTCCCCCACGGATTCGAAAACAGCTCTTTGTAGAGCTGCATCGTCGTCTTCGCTCCGTGCGCGGGAGCCCTATCTTGTTGCAGCGTCCATCGTGGACAACTTTCCAAAGCGTTTAAAAGCCTCTATCTCTGCCGACGGGGGAGATTTTGATAAATCCTCGTAGTATATTGTTGCTGTTTTTGTTTTTCATGGTTAATAACAATTTGATGGAATTTGGATGAAATACAGCAAAGTTATGACCGAAATATCGAGGCAAGAATCCTATAGAAATCTGGGGGTGGTGCAAAACTTATTTTTGTGTGCGTATTTTCTACAGCCAACAAACCAAAGTAAGAAGCATGAATTAGCCTCTTATTGCGAAGTGAAATTGAGTATGATTTAATAATTAGTTGATATTTAAACAAGAAATTAGATAAGGTAAGTGCCTGGTAGCCTGCAATTCTGTAACTGAATGTGCTCCATACAGGTAATATAATCTCCTTTTTTACAGTTGAAATAAGGAAAGCGCCTGAAGTTTGAAATGTTGGTGCATAATCTAGCTAGTCGATGACCGTTGCTGAGTAGTTGTTTTCCACAGTAAAGCAGCCACAGAGCAAAAAACGATCAATATCTAATACTTTGCAAACGGTCGATCACTTGGGTCAAGCACCAGTTAGCAAGTCCTTGCGAGCGACCGCTGAGAATTTCATGTTCATATGAGGACTTTCTGTGGTGAACTAGTGCCGCAGCTAAGTCTGAACATGAAACTGAGAGTAAGAAGGGAAATGAAATGGCGGAGATGAAACGATCTCCCTCGTACCTTCCATTACCATAATAACGAGAACCATGGGAATACCTACCCAGTGCTCAACCGGTGTCCATTGGACTGTATTCGTTCTCGTTCCTCTCCTGTGTAACCCGGGGAGTACTTATCCTTCGGTGTCCCCTGCAACAGAGGCTTCTCTTCATCCTCATCTGCTCTCCATCAGTGTCACGATTTTCAAAAAGGAGTGGAAGGAGGCATGAACATTTCATGGAATTCATGAATATGGCGAAGAAGTGAGGAGCTCAAGGGCTTACCTGATGATTCGCCAGATCTTGACTTATTCTCTCTTTCTTTCTTTCTTTCTTCCTCTTTCTTTCTCTCTTCTTCTCTCTTTCTCTCTTCCTCTCTCTTTCTCTCGTCCTCTCTCTTTCTCTCTTCCTCTCTCTCCCTCTCTTCCTCTCTCTTTCTCTCGTCCTCTCTCTTTCTCTCTTCCTCTCTCTCCCTCTCTTCCTCTCTCTTTCTTTCTTCCTCTCTCTTTCTCTCTTCCTCTCTCTTTCTCTCTTCCTCTCTCTCTCTCTCTTCTTCTCTCTTTCTCTCTTCCTCTCTCTTTCTCTCTTCCTCTCTCTTTCTTTCTTCCTCTTTCCGTCTCTCTTCCTCTTTCTTTATTTCCTCTTCATTTTCTTCATTTTCTCCAGGAGCTTGAATGTCCTGCATGGATTCTTGAGTATTGTCCGTCATGTTCCAGAGTAATTCATTGAAGGACTCAGCCTTCGCTTTTCCTTCCTCGCTTCGTCCTCGAACTTGGTACCTGAGGTGAAAGCTGATCGTTAGAGGCGCTGCCCGAACGTGACAAGCGAGACAGCGCAGAAAAAAAGACCATTCTTTTTTTCCTTTTTACTGAAAGTTTCCTCTCGAAGCATTCCCTTCTGATGCTTCAAAGAAAGAATGTTTGTCTTAGGATAGGGGAAAACAACGAAACTCGAACGAACGCTAAGGAAATGTGCAACTTGACTAGAACGCTTAGGCTAAAAGTATCGACTGCGTGTTCGACGTCCACTCAGGCTATTGAATTTCCCTTTTCTATGGTAGAACGGTATGGTATTTTCCCTGTTGTATGGAAGATGCCGTGGTTCTGATTTCCTATTATATTTCGATAGCGAGAAGAAGTACGAGTGCAAAATCTGAGCGCACTCAGATATTAGATATGAAACAATCGTGTTTCATTTGTTAGGTATTTCCAAGAAAATGGTTCTATAGAACTATGTGTTCATGCACAATTTAGTGTAAGTGTTCCTTTGGGAATATGTTCATGGTAGGATAATATCCCGCCAGTTTGGGTTGATTTTTTGTCGTAAGAAATGGACCTGAACGCATGTTCGGTTTAACGTTGCGAATCCATAGGTTAACGGAAGAAAAATGGGAAGGGTCGCTAAAGAAATAGCTTCAGAAACAGAACCGTACAAAGATCTCAATAAATTGTTGATTCTGATGTTGATTATCCAGATGATCTCGCCAGGTACAGCCCACCTCCCTTTGTGGATTTCAATCAAACATTTGCTGGTTACTCTTTTAGCATTTATTTTCGCTTTTTCCCTTCTCATTGTATTTCATTCTATTAGAGTGTTACAACCCACTTTGTTGTGTCCGTGTTTCGAAGCCATATTCATATTCAAGGGAAAAAATCCTTTGATACCTCGTGTGTTTGTTTTTCTCTTACGGAAACAAAACGGAGTGGCAGAATGTGCGAACAGCTCCGACAAACATTAGTCACTTGAGTAGCTGAGGCAGGCTGTACAGATTACGGAGTGAAAGAGAGAAATTCCAAGCTCGAGTCACGGAGCGCATCCGTTTGACTCTGAGTGACCGTTCGACTCAAGATGCAGCACGTACGATTATGTCATGTCCCATTTTGAGGGGCCTTCCACACCCACTTTCTGTCACTGAAGATTTATTCCTACCATGACTTGACCCTTTAAAATAGGTAGTTTCAGAGAGGGACGAAACGAAATTGTCGCCCCGGGGCAGGCCATTATGGGCTGAGAGAAACGCTGGATTTGATAATTGGACCGAACAATAGTTTCGTAGTTTTCCCCTACCCCAAAATGAGAAAAGCCTCACAGATGAGGAGAAAGACGGGTGGCACTCCGAAGCTCAGGTATCGCACTCCTCTCGCTTTACTGGAACGGAGTTCCGCTGTTTGGTATTTCCTTATCTTATCTTTTAGTTCCCTTGACGAATATATTGAAACCACTTGATAAGGCAAATCACTCGAGTCCCTCCATGTTGCGATCCACGTGGGGGATGGAATAGATACGGCCCCGTTTATGGTTCATTTCTTTGAGTGAAGGCAGATCTTGGTAAGGGAGGCTATCGCCTGAATTTTCGAAGGTTCCAATTCCTCATAGATCAATAAGTTGTGTGTTAACATATAAACGGCATGCACTAACGTCGATGTAAGTGTCATATTATATATATAAACGGTAAATAAATGCTCGATTAATTCGGATTAACCCCGCAATTTTGAACGACATAATGCAACAATGCAAATACTTCAGGCATGGAGGTTTACAATTGAAAAATTCTTGCATACGAGGTGAATTAAAACTCAGTTCGCAGGGATGCAAATCAGCAAAGTAAGTTGTACCATTAACTTTTACAATGAAATGTCCAAGGGAAGAATGTTTTCCTCCAGTTCCCTTCATGCCAAAAAATTTAAAGATATCTTTTAATAAATGGGATTTTGGGTCGACTCATCACATCCCGAGTCACCCTGCCTGCTGGCCTGCTCATGATCATAATTAGAAAAAAAGAGGATGACTTAGATCTTCAGGATTCGCTTTGTGGACTCGCTGTCCGTCCGCCTTCGCTTTAAACCGCTTCAGCGTCGAAGATGATCTGTTTTGACTTCTGCTTTCTGAATCTTGTGGATTAGTTTGCAGGATTCCTTTGAGATAAAGCCGCATTTGCAGCCGTTCCATAAGTGGGTGCAGGCAGAAATCCCACAGAGACAGAACATGGTGACTGGACGCCGTGAAAGGGAAATGTCCCTGAGGAAATTGACGGTTCTGGAAAGTCTTGCGTACGAACGAGCATGCTCGTCAAATTTGAGTTCATCGTCGATTATTATTCCTGGGTATATGACCTTTCTCAAAGGCGTGATTTCTCGACATTCTATACCAAAGGCGTCCACCTCGATTAGGTCCGTGGTCGGCACAAACAAATTTCGCATTTTGAATGCGAACACACTGAAATATTCTTAAGATACCAGCAGTTGAAAATAAATTTTGCAGGCCGGACAAAACGGGTGGGATGTGAACAGTTTGGCACTCCTGTTTTGCACTTCTGTGACGATTATTGAGATCAAGGAGAGAGTTTTATTCTCATTAGAAAGCATGTGAAGCTTCACGGGTGTGTCTTTCAATTATTTTTTTTGCATTTTACGAAGAAGAATTTAGAATCTCTGACGGGCCACTTCCCCGCTCTCCTTATTTCTTTTGCGGCATCGAATGCTTTCCTATTGTAATAAAGATCATCATGGGAATCAGGACAGTCATAAGGGATTCGCATTCCGAATGATTCCTTTTACTGTCAAGAAATAGCTTTCCTCACTTTTCGATGCAAAAATCATTATTTGTTTTTGGAGAAGCAATTCTGAAGACCAGAACTTCGGAAAGAGGGAAGTTGTGAAAAAAAACCACATCTATGAAATTCTGATTTTTTCGAGCCAAGGGAAATTCAGAGACCACCTCGAATAAAGAACACAAAAAGGGATTCCTTTAATGAATAGGAAATCTCATTTAAAAATCCTGATGGAAATCTCGTCTCGGAGGAAAAAGTGTGAAATTTATTTCTCAGCTGATTACAACCATGAACAAAGAACATCCGACAATAAGAACGGAATTCCGTATCCCGTACTTTTCGCACATTCCTGTCTTTTCTCAGGATTTTCCTTGATAGGCAATGTTCCCTATTATGTTTCTTTTGCACATCGAAACTCATTTTGACTGCCCTATCCTCACAACCATCCAGTCCTTCTTCGATCCCCTTCATCTGGGAATTTCCAATAGAATCTCAAATCAAAGAGGAAATTTCAGTGCTGATACTTGTGTCGAGGATCATGCGAAACTTCCGTCGTCATGTCTTTTCTCTGTAGATCCTCTAGTGCATACGTAGATAAGTGCCTCATAGACCACGAAAACCAGCAAACTGCTTATAACAGCCATGAGAACACTTTCAGTGAATATCCCGAGGATGAGGCCGATACCGACGGCGAGGATGATTCCTCCAAAAACCAGTGAGGCAATCTTCTGTGGACTGTTGAACGGGAAAAAGTGCATTGATCAGTTATTATCAATCAATAGAAATTAAATCTACAGCGTGATTGGAGGTCCACTCCTTATTATTTTTAAATAATAAATTTTCTTCCATACCACAGAAACCACTTTCCTGCGATATTTGAAAGCCTTTTAATAGAGTTTCTTTTTCCGTAGGTGTTGCAATTTTATGATAAAGGATCACGACTGTTTGTGACAGCCAAAATTGCAGCGCGGAATGAAATTCAGAGTCTAAAGGTTCAGAGATGGTATCACGGATGAAAATCATAAGGATGACACCATTTACCCCAAGAGAATAAAAAATGTCAAAACAAGTTCATGACAACTGCTTCAGTGAATGATATGGACCGAAATGGGCGACCTTCATTTGCCCGTACTTCCAAAAAAACCTTGCAAGAGGAAGAATTATTTCATGCATCCCTGGAGATGAATTATGATGCCAGAGTTTTTGTCTACGTGGTTTGGATCATTAAAAATTCAATGAGAATGGTTTTCAAATACTGCAGTAAAAAAGTTTCCATCCTTATTGTAACAAAACATAATACTTTTTATAAATTGGGAGAGACTTTCAAATCATCCTAGTGAAGGACGTCTATTTCGATCCATATCTTTCACTGAAACAATTATTATCGACTTGTCTTGATTCATTTTAATTCTCCTAGTATCAAATTATTGAATAATTTCATACGTATGATTTTCACATGTGGTACCATCTCTGAACCTATACCTTAGACCCCGAACTTCATTCCACACTGCAGTTTTGGTGCAGTCACGAACAGTCAATTGCCACTCCATCTTTTCTCACAAAATCGCAACACTCACGACAAAAAATTCCATAAACAAAGCTTTCAAATACCGCAGGAAATAAATTTATATTATTTTTGAACAAAAGCCACGAAACTTTAATATTAAGGAGAGACTTTCAAATCACCCTGTACATATTAGGTATTCTTTACATTCGACTTTTTCACTCATCACAATGACCTAAACCTGTACCACGTTCGAAAATAAATTCCATCCATCTATTAATGACCATAGGCCTTAATATTGGTAGGGGTGATGATACGAAATAATAAAAAATAAAAAACACTGAACAATGCCGGATTTCACTGGCTTTGTAAAACAACTGGGTATCAGGAACCCGTTGAATACTAACCTCATGCGGAAAATCCTATCGGAGCAAGTGACATTGTAGAGTCTATTCCGGTACCTTTGGGTCCCCGGGGAGCCAGTCTTCCGAGAGTGGTCGTTCCCTTCTTCCAGCATGGGTTCACCCACTTTAAACGTGATATTGGGATTAATTGCAAAGGATGTTGAAATTCAGGAAAAAGGCTAAGTCGGAGAGAGAGGAATCTGGAGGACTGACAAGGAAGTCCCCGTGCCACCTCTTCCTTTTCTATTTCTTTTTCGTCTGGGATCTGAATGGGTTGATTCCTCTGGATAGCTTTGCTGAATTCCTTGAAGCTCTCCGTCGTCATCTTCAGCAATAGTTCATTAATGGATCCAGTTTTTGCTTCATTGTCTTCGTCAGAAGAACTTCCATCGTCTTCTCCTTCCTTCTTTGCGAAGTAGGAAGAGCTGTTCGCGGGAAATGGCTCATTGTATTTCAGTCCGGCCTCGTTCAAGAATTCTAAGACGGGGAGATGTTTGCTATCTGCGAATGTGCAAAACAAATAGGAAATGCTGCCAGTCTCTTCTCCTAGGCATTGGGACATGCACTCCATCACCATCCTCTGTTCCGCCGTCAGTCTCCCCTGGTTACGAAACATGGTGGATGACGGCAATGAATATTTTCAGAAGAATGCAAAGTACAGTTCATAAGTGAATTCAATAAATGGTTCACTTTACATATCGATGAAAATTTAATTTTGGGAATTCTTACCTCTGGCGGTTTACAAAAGTTCAACATCTTAGATGTCAAAATTTCCTTACTGTGCCGACTGAAACATTTAATGAACATCTATTTCAAGAGAAAGAACCAAATCTTGCTTAGCTCCCTGTTAACGGAATCGTAAACATATTAATCATTTGCTTCACATGTGGCCTATGGCTCGACAGGGGGGGGGTATTACCTGCTTACAATCACACCTGAATACCTCCATCTTTATTTAATTTTTTTGTGGGATCACAAATCACATGTAGGGGAAAAGGGAGTTTTCATTGAAAAGGTTTTTCTTCGTTTTACTTTGAAGAATCCCTAAGGGAAAAGAAGCACGTCAATGAACTTCCATATGTGCAAAATAAGTTTGGAATATGGAATTAAGAATAATCGAAGAATTTAAAAAGATTTCTGAATTTAATGCATTCCTTTGTGGGGGTGAAGGGATAAAAACTAACCTGAGAGCCTGCGGTGACATAAATGACGGCGTGGATGCCCAACCGATGGTTCGAGTGGATGTAAGTTCGGATGTCTTCCATCAACTTCAGGTCCTCCTTGGGCGTCCCTTTTTGAAGGCCTGGCGCGTCGATGAAGGTGACGGGACGGGGGAACCTATGCTCGTCCCTGGTGAAGAAGGTGTGCGAGGTGATCGTGTTCGTGGGTCCGTACTTCTTCACCTGGAATCTATATGGATCTCCAAACTCCACTCCCAGTACGTAATTCCCCATGGCTTCCAGCAGCATCGATTTCCCTGCAAGAGAGAAGAATGTAAAGATTTTTGTGGCATGCTTCGCATTTTCATCGGGAAAGTGGTTATGTATGACTCAAGAGTTAACCTGATCCAGTTAGGCCGAGGAAGAGGATATTTAGACATTGTTTTCCGTCTTGTCGATCTTCACCCAAACGGAATCTACCAATCGTAGATGTAATGGCCACAAACGGAAGAGGATAGATCGGCATGTCCATTCCTTTGATCGGATTCTTGCCTCTCATCAACTCTTCATGCAACACTTTTTTCTCCTCCATCTTTGAACGCCTGGGAAGTGTAAGATTGAGGAGTCCACAATCTCATCGTTCATTTCTTGTAAATAAAAAACTTGATAGAGATAAGGCATATCTGCATCCTGTTGCCATCTCACACTTCTAAACGAACTTAACGAGAATTAAGCGACCATTGCCAATGCATATATTGGTGAATGATAATGAATGGAAACTTAAGAGTGATAAGTGAGGAAGCTGCCTTCCTGTTTGCATTCCTGTTTCTGGATGGCAGTTACCAGTCATGGAAGATAGCTTTTCAGGAAAACAGGAGATGCCAAATAATCTTTGAAATGCCTGCTGTTGCACAATTCCGCCCGGTCTAGCGCCCGAAACGGATTTTTTTTTCCAAGATGTTAGGGAGCGAGTATTCAGGGAATATTTACTTCATGTTATGCACCTTCTCTCCTCAAGCTACGTGAAGCCCACATAAAACCACTACGGCTGCTCACAGTGGGCAACGCACAGAAACGAACGGTGGATACATCTTTCTGTCACTTCTAATACAATCATGAAAGAACATGTACGAAATTCTGATATGAAAATTCCGGATCATTTTCCTTTTCTCCGAGTTCCCAGTCAGCGGAAACGTTACATTTTCATATTTTAACACGTTGGCGACAATGCGTCCTGATGCCAGGATGCAGATTTTTTGCCACGTGGGACAATGCGTCCTGATGGCAGGATGCAGGTTCCAAGTCCCACGCGGCGGACAAGCAAAAATAGGCTGGTCGTCAACGTGTTAATATTGCTTGCTTCAGAGAAAAATGGAAAACTCCAAACGTGTTTCCTTATATTCTCTTACCCTCTGGAACATTAGCCGGAAGTAAACTTGAGTCTATCTCTTGCCAGATAATTTGTCCCGCTTTCACTCCGAGTGCTTTGGGTACAAAGATAAGGAGAGAGATTCATGTTTCAATTTCCGTTCCGAAAATTAGGATCATAGCAAGATCCTAAGCAGATACGTCAAGAACGAATCCGAAAACTTCCTGAAATGCTAAAAAACACTTTCCGCATCTCTTTCATCTTGGCTGTATTGCGGGAGCAGACATGGTTTCATCCCGTAAATCTGACTTCATCAAGAGACTGGAAGGCGCCAATCGCCGCAGCTATATCTTGACGGACGCAGATGCCTACGGCATGATGCGGCCGAACTTGCGCAATATTTCTTTTTATCTTTTCTGCACGGAGCAATCGTGGGGAGTTGCCTCGAGTTTATTGCTTTGTCTAATGTATATTGTTTTGCGCTCATGAGTTTTCCTCAGTTTTTTTCTCATAGTTATTGCCTGGAGCGGAAGTCCACAGGGTTGATGGGGATATCAGTCGTTTTCGACGTTTTATCTCTATGGAGCCTCGACGTTTGAGCAGTTTCATCATTCCATTTCGTTCGCAATTCGTGAATCGACAGCACGTGATTTGACGTAAACCGAAGGTGAAATTTGTTTCCCTGTTGCATCCTGTTAATCTAATGGTTGGTTTCATTTCATCAGAAATAGAAGTTAGTAAAACGTGTCTCGGGCGTGAACCACTTGCCCTGGAAGGGTATAGGTTCTCACTCCTCCTGTCACATCCCAGAACATGATCACTTTTATCTGAATCTCCCAATCTGTCGGAGCCCCAAGATGAATAATTCGGCATGACGTTTGAGAATCGTTTAAGAAAAATGGCGACATTGAGCGCGATGGGCGATGAAGATGGATAGCGCTTTATATTGAGAGAGGGAAATGCCATGAGATTTCGCCGATTCATCCGGCGATGACTTCACGATTTAACTTCCTTGGAAAACTCGAGGAAAGGTGCCCGAGCGTTTCGTTCGTTCCATTGCGATCGTGTGTCCCTCCATTAAGAAACGCTTGCCAGCGGAACCTGTTTGGTTGTTTCGGTGTTTGAGGAGTCGGGGATGTGGGCTAAAGATGCTTATTTCAGTGGGGCCTTTTCGTAGCCGACTGCTTTTTTCATCGATGAAATTTCGCGACGGGGCGGCGTGGAATTCGTGCGGAGTCATTCGACGAAAGTGACATTTTTTTATTGGTAGTTATTTTTTTGGAAACTCGTATAGGTCACTTAAATTTTGCAAAATGTCCAGGCCACGAAAGGAAACCGCTAAGAAAGGCACAGAGGAAAACGTGCTCAATGAAATATTTGCTGACAGTCACTCTGAGGCTGATTTGTTGATTGGAGAAGATGATCATGTTGAAGAATATAATGTAAGTGAAAGTATCTTCTCACAAGCTAGATCTACCGATGCAGAATCCGATTCTTTTGATAAGCAACGCCATGGCAGTGGTGATGCTCCACCTCAAGCCGGTGGCACACTCACCGTATGCACCGTATTTCTGAGGGAATCCACTTCCAAAATTATTATTGGATAATCCAGATGATGTAATGCAGTATTTCGCTACTTTCGCCGCTGAAGAATTCGTTGAATTCCTTTGCACACAAATTCTTATGCTCAGCAATTTTTTTATTTTCGCTTTCAGGCCGTCCAGATAGTTTCCCAAGTTTGACAAATGGAAATCCTTGAAATTGAGATGAAACAATTTTTAGGCCTAGCAATGCTCACTGGCATCGTCAAAAATCCAACTTTTAATATATACTGGTCTGCCAAGGATATTATTCTGACACCCATCTTCGGCAAAACGATGTCGCGGAACAGATTCCAGCTGATCCATAAATATTTTCACTTCAATGATAACCAGGGTCTGCATTCAATGAACTCTGACAGAGGTTGCGCTAGGTTTCTTGCCGTAGAGGTCCCCGGGACCCTCTTGTCTGATATGGAAGGGTCCCCTGATAATTAAGGGGGTTACTTTCCATGTGAAGCACGAAGGAATCTTGAAAGGTTCCCCAAAAGTAAAGGTCCAGCGATCCATGTGTATTTGCCAACTTAACACAACCAAGCAGTGTGAAATTCAATCCAACAATCTTAGGCCTTCTGCCTGTGCGTCCAGGGGTTCCCGGGATCCCCGAGATGCATAGGTAGGATGCCAGGGAAAAAATCTTAGCGCAACCCCTGTGACAGGTTGTACGAAATAAGACTTATACTGGACCACTTCACCGAAATTTTCCAAGAAGTGTATGAACCTGAGAAGCATCTGTCTTTGGATGAAGGCATGCTTCCATGTCGAGGTAGATTCAGATTTAGGAGGTACAACCCCAGGAAAATCATCAGGTATGGCATTCTGGTTCGCTTAACATGTGGAAGTTCCTCAGGCTCCATTTGTACGATGCAAATTCATGATGGAAAATGTGGCAGTCTGGTTTTCACTATTGACAGTCTGCTTGGACCCTATAATGGGAAGGAATACTATGTATTTATGGATAATTTCTACAATAGAGTGTCATTAACCGAGGACTTGACCAGGAAGGAAGTACGGATTTGTGACAATCTGAGACAAAATTGAAGTGCACCTAATAAATTGGTCATTGAATCTGAAGAGCTAGCAAGGGGAGAGGAAACACAAGCGCAAGGATCAGGTCCTCGTCTCGTGTTGGAAACACAAGCGCCTCGTAACAATGATTTCTACCCTTCACATAGGTAAACTAGTTGTTGTTCCAACAAGGAGGAATCAGGGAAACAATAACAAAAGATCGAAGAAGAAGCCCATTTGCATTGTGGATTATAGCAAGTACAGGAATGGGGTAGATGCCGCTGACCAGTACTTATCGTATTACTCTTTAACAAGGAAGACTGTAAAATGGACCAAGAAAGTCATCTGCTTGTTTCAATGTGCGATCTTCAACTCATAGTGGCATGCAAGAAAACTACTTGTCCAACAATTCCCAGTTGGACCATACTTTGGAAGTGAGTGAACACCTCGTAGAAGCCTCTTCGTAACGAAAGGCGTCTTACTTGCAGGCCGGATCCGATCAATTTGACAGTTCTGTTTTACTCTTTTGTGACGATTCCTGAGCTCGAGAAGAGTTGTGACTCTCGTTAGAAAGTAAGCAAGGCTCCACGGTCGTGTCTTTCTGTGTTCTTTTTTTTTTTTAACGAACAAGAGTCGAACCCAGTTATATTGATCTCGGTTATTACGACGAAACACGCCGGGTCCCGGCGTATAGTGTAAAAAATAATGGTTCAGGCTGGAACTCTTCCATGGTTCTACACCCTTAAAAAGGTTCCAAGTACTGTAGAACCATATGAATTGGTTCCAGCACAGATGTAGAACACTGTGAAACTCCAACGTTCTTGCAGAACCTCTGGAATTGGCCATTGGTTTTAGGTACAACCATTTCTTGCGTTTTCTCAAAATGGTTCGAAAAAGGATCCCTTCAGGGCTAGATACGTCGATTTTTTTTCGCCATTCACTCAGAACTCCCCCCTCCTCCTCACTCCCTTCCTTTTTAAAAATAGGTTTTACCAATCGGCGCCAGATGGCGCCTAAGCGCTGACTTAGCGATTCTCACCCTACTGCCAAAGGTATGAATCCCCTGATTTTTAAACACAATACCCGATCTTTTCCCATGTACAACTTAAGGCAAGGCTTTGGAATTCCTAGAAAGACTCGTTCAAGGAGGTGACCTGGTAGAAGATTTCAAATACTACTAACCAGGGTGTCCAAAGAGACAAGCTCAATTTTCCTAAGTCTCTACATGGCGCATATAAGGACTCAAGTTCTTGTATCTCATTCGAGAGAGACGGAACGCGAAAACTGAACGCGGGGATATGTCTGGCTCCTCTTCAAGAATGAAATCAAACTGGGGATGTTGCTAGACGTGTAATACCTTTGCTGGACAGTAAGAGTTCACTCAACTCTAATTCTGATCTAGTGAAGGAAATACAGCCTCAACGGGACTTCTCCGGGACATTAGTACTCAATAGAGTACTATTAAATCCCTGAGAGCCTTCCTTTGCCCTTTGGAAGGAACCCTGTGTGGGATGACAGTACTTAATAGAGTACCCAGGTATAGATTTCAGACCCAAGAAGTGGAGGAGGTACGTAATGCCCAAACGTTGAGAAATGAACCTTTGCTCAAAGTTGACACAACGTTGTTTTGCCAAATGGTGATGGTACTGTGTGGAACCATGTTATTAAGAAAGGGTATTAAATGACACCTTCGGTAAAGGTGCTACATGTAACCTTCATAGGTGGTTCTCTATGGCGCCATTAAATGGTTCCAAGAACTGTTTCACTGTAGAACCAGTAACGAGTTCCAGGGAGAACCGTTATATTTTACAGTGTAGAGTTCATAAGGCATGAGAAACTTAACCTCGGTTATGGCGAACTCAGGTATAGCAAGAACCTCGGTTATGATACAAAACGAAATCCATTCAAGGTCCCACTGAAGAAACTGACAGTTTTGTTTTCCCTAATTCGTCATTCCTAACGGGAATTTCCATCATTGGAAAAATTATCGTTGGCAGGCCGCAATTTTACCTTTCCTCGAATTCTGCAAGAGTGGCGTGGGAGTGGCTGGAGGAGGGGGAGGGAGGAATGATCCCCAGTGACTAAGATCATCTCACTTCAGTCGCCATATTCAGTCGGAAAATCGTGACGGTTTCATACGTGCTTCCGAAAAGAACACGTCACAAAGCAAAAGACTTCGAAGATCTGTCGAGATGACGTCGACGAGGTCTTGCTAAAGTAGTTCATGTTCCAAATAAGAACCACGATTCAATGCCGATACAAAATGTTAATACGGAAACGGAATGTCAATCAAATTGGGGGACCGTATTTTTTTTAAAGGAAATCCGAGACATTTTCCCTCCGTTTCCGGTTGACAATAGGTCGATAAGCTGCTTCCTACAGATGGGTGGCACTGAAAGGAAAAATCGCTGGATAGTTTTCCGAGCAGGGCAGTACCTCAAGACCAGGGGCTGTTCCAGAGAAAAAGGCATGTCCCAGTTTTACCGGGACGATCTGGTCACCCCACAATGAATGCAACCTCGGTAAGAACGACGATTTTTCCCTGGTCTCTTCAATGACATCACAAACGAGTTCGAGTGGATTCAGAAACGCCGATGTGTCGCTTACCCGGACTCCGTGTCTCTTTTGCGGTGTCGCATGCCTTCCAATGATGATAAGGACGATCATGAGAATAAGTGTACCAAATAATGACTCGCAGACGTAATGATTCATTATAGTTCCAGGAACTAGGTTTCCACTCATTTCGATGCAAAAATCCTCATTTGCTTTTGAAGAGGCAATTCGGAAGACCAGAACTTCAAAATGAGGGAAGTTGTGAAAAGAAAAGTCTGCACCCATAAAATTCTAGTTATTTCGAGCCAGTGAGTTCAGAAAGCAATTCGAATAAAGAACGCAAACAGGAATTCCTTTAATGAATCGGAAATCTCGTCTCCAAGTCCTGATGGAAATTTCGTCTCGGAGGAGAAAGTGGGAAATTTATTTCTCAGCTGGTTACAAATATGAACAGAGAACACCCGACGATAAGGCCGGAATTCCGTTTACAGCACCTTTCATACATATTTATTCCAGTCTTTTCTCAGGATTTTCCTTGAGAGAAAATGTTCCCTATCAAGTTTCTTTTTGCATATCGAAACTCATTCTCTCTCTGCCATCCCCACTACCATCCAGTCCTTCTTTGATTCCCTTCATCCGAGCAATTCCAATAGGATCCCGAATCAAAGACGAGGGTGAAATTTTGGAACTGATGCGCATGACGAGGTTCAGGGGCCACTCCTCTTGTTATGTCTGTTCTCCGTATTCTCCGTAGATCCTCTAGTGCCGGGGTGCCCAAAGTGGATGTTCTCTAAGGCACTTTGTGTGCTGGATGCGGCCCGCGGGCCGCACTTTGGGCACCCTTGCTCTAGTGTATACGTAGATGAACAGAAATACGCCATAGACCACGAAAACCAGCAAACTGCCTATTACACCTAAGAGAACACTTTCAGTGAATATCCCTGAGGATGAGGCCCATACCGACGGCGAGGACGATCCCTCCAAAAACCAGCAAAACAAACTTCTTTGGACTGTTAAAAGGGAGAAAGTGCACTGATAAGCCAATATCAATAAATATAAATTATATATATGGAGTGATGGAGTTTACTTTTTTTAATCATACATTTTGTTTCAAGAATGATAGGAACTTATTTCCTGTAGTATTAGGAAGTTTCTTTTATTGACTTTTTTCATAAGTGTTGTGATTTTGTTAAAATACGGGGCAGCAGTTGACTACTTGACTGGGCCGAAATTGCAGCTCGGAATGAAATTTGGGGCTCAAACAGTTCAGAGATGGCATGAAAATCATGAATACGAAACCCATGATCCCAAGAGAATCGATTAAATTAAAGAGTCAAAGCAAGTCGATGACAACTGCTTCAGTGAATGATATGTCTGTCGAGTCTACCGACAAAGTCTACCGAATGATGGAGAGTCACACCTCATTTTTATATCCATACGTTTTGTTCAAACAATGATATAAACTTCTTTCCTCCGGTGTCTGAAAGCTTTCTAAATTCAGTTTTTCGCCATAGGTGTTGTAATCTTGTGGTAAAAGATGGCATTTGACTGTTTTCCTCTGCGCCAAAATTGCGGCGCGGAATGAAGTTTGGAGGTCTAAGGGTTCAGAGATGGTACCACGAATGAAAATCATAAGTATAAAACCGTAGATCCCAAGAGAATTGAAAAGTATTAAAGCAAGTCGAGGGCAACGGCTTCGGCGAAAGATGTGGGTCGAAATGGACGACCTCCAACCGCCCGGACTTGAGGAGAGATCTCGCAGGTGGAAGGAGTCATTTCATGCATCCCCGGAGATTAATTATGATGGGGAAAATGATGATGAGGAAAATTTCACGAGAATGGTTTTCAAATGGTGCACTATAAACGTTTCTATTCTTATTGGAACAACACATAAAGTTTTAAATAAATAAAAATTGGGATATAAAAATCATCCTAGTGAAGGTCGTCTATTTCGTCCATATCTTTCGCGTATCATGTGAAGCTTTTTCAAAGCATAATTCAAATGTCAATATTTCGATTCATGATGCCAAAATTCCTGAAACCCATCAGTTTTACTGTCATTCTCATGCGAACGTTGAAAGAGCGAAAGCAAACGATTCAGCGGATGCTGATCGTTCCAAGGCTCGTTCAAGGCAGGGGGAATCGTGGAAGCAATACAAGGAGGCTCCAACTCGCACTAGGAGAGGAAATGCCTCCGTTTGGGATCTGTTGCAAACCGCTAATGCTTTCAGCTGCTGGTTTCAGTGATTTTTATATTCCTTGAGTGCTTTGCGTATCGAAATTTCCCAATTTTTCAAATTTTTTCACTGACTACTAAATATGCTGTGTCTAGTTGATTTACCTCAAGTACAACGGGAGGGGAAATGTTCTTAAGCAGCGGGGAAACTTGGACATACTGCCTTTAGGCAGGGCCGGAATAACCCATAGGCGAATAAGGCTATAGTCTTAGGTCCTACTTTAGGCCCTCCATTCCATTTTTTTTTCTATATGCAATTCACACATAGACCCTTCCCTCCCATTAGCCTCAGGAGCGTCATAACCTTAATCCGGCCCTGCCTTTAGAAAGTCATTTTACGAGCAATCTTTAAGTATTTACCTGTCTTCATGCCTCTTCAATTCTTCCTGTTTCTTCAATTCCTCCTGTCTCTTCAAATCTTCCTGTCTCTTCAGTTCTTCCTGTCTCTTATATTTATCCTGTCTCTTCAATTCTTCCTGTCTCTTCAATTCCTCCTGTCTCTTCAATTCTTCCTGTCTCTTATATTCCTCCTGTCTCTTCAATTCCTCCTGTCTTTTCAATTCTTCCTGTCTCTTCATTTCTTCCTGTCTCTTCAGTTCTTCCTGTCTCTTCAATTCCTCCTGTCTCTTCAATTCTTCCTGTCTCTTCAGTTCCTCCTGTCTCTTCATTTCTTCCACTTTCTTTTTTCGTGCTTCGCAGTCCAAAATATCCATCATGAAGTCTTGAATGCTCTCCGTCGTCATCTTCCATAACAACTCGTTGATGGACATCGTCTTCCGTTTCTCTTGCTTCACCTCCTCCTCGTCGGAGGAAGATCCATCATCCTCTTCTTCTTCCTTCGCGAAGTAGGAGGAGCTGTTCACGACGTAATGCTTCTTGTATTTCAATCCCGCCTCTCTCACGGCTTCTAGGACGGGGAGGCGCTTGCTGTCTGCAAACGTGCAAAACAGATAGGAAATGTCGTGGATTTCAGGAATCTTATCTCCCAAGACTTTGGCCGTGTTCGCTATCACCACCTTTTGCTCCGCCGTGAATCTCCCCTGTTCGGATGGACAAGGTGAATATGCCGGTATTGTGAAAAAATTAAAATTTTCCAACCTGTCGTTATTGATAAAAAAAATGAAAGATTTTAACATTAGATACAAGTATAGATCGACAGGCGGGAGGAGAGGAAAAGGTGGGCGGATGGAGGGGGAAGGGAGTGGATACTACGCCAAGGAACTTGAAGGAAAATAGGGGTCCAGTGAACAATAGCTAGGCCCTGGATTCCAGGAACCTTATCTCCCAAGACTCTAGCCATGTTCGCAAGCACCACCTTTTGCTCCGCCTTCAATCTTCCCTGTTCGGGTGGACAAGATGAATATGCCGTAATTGTGATTTTAAAAAAAGTTTTTCATAACATGTCGTTGTTGATAAAAAAAATGAAGAAATTATGTTAAGATTAAATATGTAGTCTATTCCAAATATCAGAAATCACCGCATCTAAGCGAATTATTAGCAATAGACACGCCTGTGTCTTCGACAAGAAACTTGCATGACAGACGCACAAGAACAATTGTTCCTCAAAAGGATGAAGGTCTTCCAAACAAGCCGGATTTTTAAGCGGAAATTTTGGGATTTTCCCATGTCTTTCTGCTTTGATGGAAACAGGGAAAGGGAGGAGAGAATTCTCAGCAATTTTATTTTGGGCTTCATTTCTTCCAATTTGATTCAAATCTTTCCCTTCTGAAAGTCCTCTGAAGTCGGGCTGAAACAGTTATTGGGGTATTGCTGTAACTCCTTTACTAATTCATCTTGTCTAAAAAGTATAATAAATACATTGTGTTTGATTCTGAGGATAATTACTCCGTAAATCTAGTCATGTTCCTTTGCCGGGAATATGGCGACTTCACACAGATGCACGATCTCCTCAAATGCCATGCTTTCATGCTTCGTCTGGGTATATTGTTTGAGAATGGATTGGATTCCGCTGTGAGGGAAAAGAACTGAACCTGAGAGCCAGTGACGACGTAAACGACAGCGTCGATTTCCATATTTTGTGCAAAATCGCGAATTTCTTTCATCAACTTCTCGTCATCCTTGAGCGTCCCCTTCTGCAAGCCCGGCGTGTCGATGATGGTGACGGGATGACGGAACTTCTTCCTGTCCCTAGTGAAAAAGGTGTACGAGGTGATCCTGCTCGTCGGTCCGTAATCTCTATTCATCCGAAACCGATGGCGATCCCGAATATCCACTCCCAACCCGTAGTTCCCCATCACCTCCCCCAACATCGATTTCCCTGAAGAAAAGAAAGCATTGATGATCTAGACCCCCCCTCACAACGTGGAGAACCAACGGACGACGCGAGCAGTGACCTGATCCAGTCAAGCCAAGGAGGAGGACAATCAAACATTTCTCTCCTCGTTGACCTTCCCCCAATCGGAATCGATCATCTGCAATACGCTGAAAAGGAAAGAGGTAAGTCGGCGGATCCGTTCCTTCGATCGGAACATTTCCTTTCGTTAGCCCTTCTATTTCATCCGAAACCATCTTGGTTGGGTCTAATGCACAGTCGAGGAGGGGTTCATCGCTTGTTTATCTCATCCAAATGAATTGTCCGCAAATGCGACAGCGATGTGGGCTTGCTGCCGGATATATAGAAGGCCTCCAAGGAATCCTGGACACAGAATGGGGCACAAAAAAGGTTTGGCATAAATTTCAAGTCGACGAAGTCGGAGGTCGTGGGAGTTATATATTTAAAATAGTTATATATTTATATCATATTATATATTGGTCGAGGAGTTGAAGCCTGAGAAGGTGAAGCGCTTCGAGCATCTAAAATCACGGTGGACGAAATAAATGAAAACGAGTAGAATATGTCAAGACAAAAGGGGTCCTTGTCTAGTGTGCATTCCCCTGAAAGACTGCAGCATGCCGAAAAAGAGTGAAACTGCTCATGCATGCGCAGATTCGTGGACAGATTCTCATCCTCAGCGCTTCACGCCATCTATGAACCCTGTTGCATGAAGGTGTTGACAGCGAGAATGCGGCATGTACCTCTCAAACATCGGTTCTTGAAGTGTAAAATTTACAGTTCGTATCGAGAGAGGGGGGGTGGGGGGTAGGGGAAGGTAAGGGTGAGGCTCCATGATACGACCGCCTGCGGATTCACATCGGGAATGTGGATAGCGAATGGGAGGAGGATACTCAGCTCCTCACCGTATCCTCCTCCTCCTCCCGTCCTCCCTATTTGCTCTCATTGGTACTGAATGGCTGTCTCGTAATGCTGACGAAATTTGAGGGTCTAGCGAGAAATCTTTCGCTGATAATCTTCAAGAGTTCTTGCAAGTTTCGGGCAATTTATTAATAAGTCATTGATAGTGGGGATGATTCATTCGTCCATTCGAGGAAGACGCCCGAGCGAACGGCTTCTATTTCTTCTTCATGGGTAGGAAATCGGGGAATCGGGGAATCAGGGAAGACGCGAGACGTTATCCACATGTTATTTTTGAATCTGATCATGCGAACCAAGTCCGTGCATCTCCGACGTTATTTCTCAAGTAGCCTTGCGTCATGCGTCGAAGAGAACCTTCCTCACCAGAAAGAATTCTGCATGCATGAGGCCTCACGATCGAGCGGAAATATTTAAAAGGAGGATTGGAGGTCACTTTGCAGTTAGAGGACGGTTATAGTCGATTAAATGCCGGTTGCGATCGGCTCGGGAGAGCGGGACCGGATTCCGACGTGACTAATTCGCTTTCTCCCATTCTGCGTCTCTGAGCTCATCGTCTCTTCATCGTCCTTCATCTGAGCTCATCGTCCTTCGTTCATCGGCTTTTAGCTCAACGTCGAACTCATCGCCTGGCTTCATGAGTCATCGCGATGAAGGCAGCTTTCTTTCCAGGCGAACGAAGCCGTCTGTTTACGTTTCCCATATCTAATTCCATGCTTCGCGAGTTTTTCGTTCTTCGGCGGGAGTAATGGAACGAAGTACCGAAAGAAAGAAGCACTCCCAGAAAATGGAGCAGTACTGGAGAAAAGTACGTCCATACTTTTCCTCGAGAAGTGCGAATACCACATCGTATTCCCGTTAGCTATTTCCGGTAACTACATGAAATGAGAGGAACGTCGCAGTTGAGGATGCCTTCAGGAGGTCGACGGGACGACTTCCCCCGCGGGAAGCGAGAAGCAGATTGCATGCTGCAAGGCCTCACGTCACGCAAGGCCTTTCTCGCCCCACGAAGGTGGTATCAATGACAACCGGACTAATTACGAACATGAAAGTTCGTTTATGCGTATGATTAGTCTGTTCGAGACGTGCATGAGACATGTCTGCCGCAATCGCATTCACTGCCAATCCCCCGCTCGACACTTCCCCGTCATTGCGACACTGTCACGAACCACCATCGCGAATCGAGAGGGTTTCCACCGAGTCCGCTCTTTCGAAAGCTTCCGTCTCCCCCCTTCCCCCCCTCCCCCCTTCCCCATCCCCCACCGCTTAAGCAAACAGCAGTGACGGGAAGAACTGACATGAACGATCCTGGAGGCCGACGACGGAAGAAGGCAGAAGAAGGCAGGCACACGCGAAAGTCCTTCTACGTGCAGGACTCCACTATCCACTTTCCTTATCGCCTGTTTAAATCCGCTCCTTGACGGCTCGTCCCCGATAGCCGGGTATCAGCGCCTTCCCTCGCCGGATCCCGCGATAATGGACGAAAATCCTTCCCAAACATCCTCCCAATCTCGACTCGGACGACCTTCGAACGAAAACCATTAGCCCCAATCGGTACCATCGAGAGAAAGCAAAAGACTCCCCTAAAAGGCAATCCCTCACCGTCAACCCTTCCATCCGTTTACCACGTGAAAAGAGCCTCAAGAGAAAAATATTCTCGAGGAAACTGAGATAGGAAAAGAGACATTGGAACGGCACTCATCTTAAACGCGCGTTACGCCATAACCCTCTGTCGTCGGAGATGGTGCTTAACCAATCCCACAGGCGGCAAAATCGATCCCCCTGGATTTGCAAAAATAATTATTGAAATTAATAGTATACGCAAATGCAAGAGGTGCCAGAAACCTCCAGATTTAATTTCAGGGAAAGCCCATAAACGCGACGGATTTAATGAAACTCGCGTAAATATCCTTCAGCCGCGCTAACATAGGCTGACGTGCATATTCGTCAACCTATGCTTTAGGGTTAATCCCAAGCATAAACTATGGAAGAAAAGAAAGGAAGGAGATCCTCTTTCCATAGCGATCGTTTGTCCCTCCATTAAGAAGCGCTTGCCAGCGAAACCTGTTCGGTTGTTTCGGTGTTTGAGGAGTTGGGGATGTAGGTTAAAGAGGATATCTTCAGCGGGGCCTCTTCCTAGCCATCTGGCCCCGCCCAGCCTTCTTTTTTCACAGATGAAATTCCGTTACGGCGCAGCGCGGAATTCGTACGATTTCATTCGACGAAACTGTAGTTTTTTTTACTGGTCGTTATTTTTTTGAATGCTTGTAGTGGCCACTTAAATTTTTCAAAAAGGTCCAGACCACGAAAGGAAACCGCTAAGAAGTGCACAGAGGAAGATGTGCTCAATGAAATATTTGCTGACAGTCACTCTGAGGATGATTTTTTGATTGGAGATGATAATGCTGAAGAATATCGTGTCAATGAAATCCAGATGATGTCATGCAGTATTTCGCTTCTTTCATCACTGAAGAATTGGTTGAATCCCGTTGCGCACAAATTCTTATGCTCAGCAATTTTCAGATTTCGCTTCCGGGCAGTTTTCCATGTTTAATAAATGGAGACACAAAATGAGGTGAAAAAAATGTTTAGGTTTAGCAATGCCCAATGGCATCGTAAAATACCTACATTGGAAATATACTAGTCTGCCAAGGATGTTATTATGACACCATCTTCGGCTAAACGATGTCGCGGAACAGATTCCAGCTGATTCATAAATGTTTGCACTTCTATGATAACCAGTATCTGCATTCAGTGAACTCTGACAGGTTGTATAATATAATACCTCTGCTTGACCACTTCACTGAAATTTTCCTAGAAGTGTACGAACCCTAAACAGCAGCTGTTTTCGGTTAAAGGAATGTTTGCATGGCGGAGTAGACTCAGATTTAAGAGGTACAACCCATGGGACATCATCAAAGCATGGCATTCTGGTTTGGCTAACGTATAAAACTTTCTCAAGCAACAAATGTACGAAGCAAATTTATGATGGAAAATGTGGCAGTCCGGCTGTGCTAAATTTCACCTTATAACCATTGTCAGCGTCTATGTAACAAATAAAAGTCTTTAAAATGGGTTCCCATCGAAAAATGTATCCCTTGGGGAGGTAGCTCAAAACAAATATTTTAATTTCAATAATTATTTGAGTATTTCTGATGCGCCTCATTTCAACGCGCATCGTCTTCATCTTTCGTAGGAGTGAAAATATGACTAGAATTTCTCCACCGCACCCAATAATTTTCCTAGAGTGATATATTTCACAGACAGAAAATTTTCTACCTATGAGCATTATAGCTTGAGCTAATTGTGCACCAAGTTTCAACTTTTCACCTCTCAGATTCGTTTGAGAGGAAAAAATCAAGGAAAATACGGTTTTGCAAGTATTGTGCCATGAGGGGTTAAACTTCTGAACTGAATCAAACCATAAATAATTGCTTTTATATTAGCATTTATTTAAAAAAATTTTTTTTTTCCTTCAAATATCTACATATTAAATACATAGCAACCTGTAAACTCTAATCAATATTCGCACGGAGCAACAACTAGAGAACCCGTGTGAAGGGTAGAAATCATTATTACCAGGCGCTTGTCTTTCCAACACGAGACGAAGACCTGGTCCTTGCGCCTCTGTATTTCTTCTCCCTTTGCTACCTTTTTTTAGATTCAATGACTAGTTCCTTAGGTGCACCTCTATTTTGTCTCAGAGTGCCACAAATCCATACTCATATCTATATCTACTTTACTGCTGAGCGCATTCAGAATCTGTCTTATTTGCTCTGCCTGCGCGAGAATCTTCAGCCTCGGTACAGGTACTTGAGAGGGATCGACATCATTATGACTTTTTCTGAGCCTGAACGCGCGCTAATATTGATTAAACTTTGCAGGTTGCTATATATTTAACATGTAGATATTTGGTACAAAAGTAGTTGACTAGATAATTTCACGAAATTTTTAAAGATTCATCTTCTTAGGGGATATTTTTCGAGTGAGATGCAACTTAGATAAATCTTTTTACTCCATCGAGATGGGCTATTGCAGAAATCTGGAACTTGTTGAGAATGTAGTTCCCTAGATATTTATAGATATTCAGCAAAAGAGTGTTGTAACATTAATTTTCGCAATAAAATGTTTCTCGAAGGAATGTTTTCCTGCAGTCAACCATTCGTTCCAAAGATTTCTTCAACTTTTATCCATTCGGATTTTCGGTAGACTCATCTTTTCTCAAGTCAGCCTGCCGTTTGCCTGTACATCATTACAATTGGTAAAGGCGAACGACTTGAATCTTCGGAAATCACTTTGTATAGGAAAAATTCACCATTCTGCCTTCCTTTTTCCGATGCGTTCCGCTTGATAGTTGGAGGTGTTCTGTTCCGTCTGCAGGCCTTTCCGGAATCTTCTTGATAAGTTTGCAGATTCCTTTGAGGTGAAGTCGCGTTTATTTGAGTGCTTTATTGATTACCACTCCGGAGTATTTGCCATTTCTCAAAAGCGTCATCTCTTGACATTCTATACCAAGGGTGTCCACCTCGATTTGGTTCGGGGACGACACCATAAAACAGCGAATTTTCAATTTTGAATGTTGGAATGTTCTGTACTTTTCTGATATCAATTGTTGAAAAGGATTTCGCGGGCCGAATGAAATGGATTGGCAGGCCAGATCCGGCCAATTTGACACTCCTACTCTTCGAAAATTCTTAACCTCGAGGAGAGTTCTGACTCTCATTAGGAAGAACATGTTGAAGTGGCAGAGTTTCGTAGAGTTGCACATAGCCGTCGGACATTAATCCGACTCGTTGAGAAGTTTCGCACAGAAGGAATGTAGGAAGAAAACCTTATCATCTTCAGCCTCCAATTAGAACGGCGGAAACAATGGCAGCAAAAAGTGCAACGAAGCCCTAAAAAATCAACAAGAAAATTGTCTGCAGAGACATACAAGTCTGACAAGTGTCAGGAGAATCTTCCACCAGGACGAATTCCCTTTATTGCCAGATCGCCTGATTTGACTGCACCCGATTTCTTTTCGTGGGACTTTTGTAAAGCTCATGTATACAAAAGTAATTCAAACAATCCAGAAGAGCTGAAATAAAGAATCAGACATATAATCAGTGGAATTGGCGGAGAAACACCAGCCGCCACAATGAACAATTTTCTGGCGCGATACAGACGCTGCGTTCAGGGTAATGGTGCACATCTGAAGCAGGTCATTTTCCATAAATGACTTCACAACATCTCCAAGCAAATGGCACTAAATGAATCTCCAAATTGTATATTACTGTTGTGAACGATTTGAATCTTACAGCTACAACGTATTTAATTTTATTATGAAATAAATTTGTAGCATGCTTGGTGGCTCACCCTGTATTTACTTTCCCCTGTGCATATTCTGAAATTCTCCTTCTTAAAAGAAAAATTTTGCGCATACTATTAATTCCCAGTAAAGGAGAGAAAAATGGCTCTTTGTTTCTGACATGCAGGAAAATTTCGAATTTGGTTCAGTAAAATTCCTAAGGATCTGAGGAGAGTGGACAGATTCGTCTGAAAATAAACGTGAAGCTGTTCAAGAGGCTTCTCCACAATTCCTTTAGTTGAAATTTAGAATTTCTCTCTCGTTCTCGAGAAATGAAGTTATATGTGAGATACTATGGAAAATATGGAGATATTGAGGCATACCTTCGAACTTCCAAGTAAACGGTTCGTTGAATCGACACAGGGACGTATGGGGACGGTCTAAAGACTGGAACATGCTTTTCCCGATGCAATGTTTTTCACTTTTCCAATACCAACTGTTGAAAAAGAATTTCCAGGCCGGACAGACTGGCTGGTCGGATCTGGCCAGTTTCACTTTGTGTTCTACACTTCTGTGACGATTCTCGAGCTCGAGGAAAGTTGAGACTCTCATTAGAAAGCAAGCAAAGCTTCACGGGTGTGTCTTTTAATGTTTTTTTGCCTTTTGCGAAGTAAAATGCAAAAATACATCTTAATATTTCTTTTGCGGTGTCGAATCCCTTTCCATGGTAATAAGGATTATCATGTGAATAAGGACAGCCAATAAGAACCCGAATATTGAATGATTCCTTTTACTTTTAAGAATTACGTTTACTCGCTTTTTGATGTAAATTTCCTAATTTTTCTTACAGACATTTGTGAGGACCAGAACTTAGGAATGAGGGATGATGTGAAGAAAAACCACATCCAGGAAATTCTGATTCTTTTGAGCTGAAGGAAATTCAGAAAGCGCTTAGAATGAAGAACGCAACAAGGGATCCCCTTAATGAATCGGAAATCTCGTTTCCAATCCTTATTTACAAAAATAAAGCTCCGGAGGAAAGAGTGAGAAATTTATTTCTCAGCTGGTTACAACTATGAAAAGAGAACACCTGACGATTAGAACGGAATTCCGCTTTCCGCACTTCGCACATATTCAGGCCATTTTTCAGGATTTTCTTTGAGAGAGACAATGTTCCCTATGATGATCCTTTTCTACATCGAAACACATTCTAACTTTGCTATTCAAACTACTATCCAGTTCTTATATTCCCTTCATTCGGGTTCTTCCAATGGAATCTCAAATCAAAGAAGAGGTGAAATTTTGCAACTGATGCACATGACGAGGATCATGCGCCACTTCCCATGTCGCATTTAATTTTCGTACAAACTCTAGTGCATGCGCAGGTGAACAGAAATGCTTGATAGACCACGAAAACCAGCAAACTGCCCGCAACAGCCCCGCCAACACTTTCTGTGAATATCCCGAGGATGAGGCCGATGCCGACGGCGAGGACGATCCCTCCAAAAACCAGCAAAACAAACTTCTTTGGACTGTTAAAAGGGAGAAAGTGCATTGATAAGCCAATACCAATAAATAGAAATTATATCTATGGAGTGATGGAGAGTCACTCGTTACTTTTTTTAATCATACATTTTGTTTCAACAATGATAGGAACTTATTTCCTGTAGTATTAGGAAACCTCTTTCATTGAATCTTTTTTCATAAGTGTTGTGATTTTATGTTAAAACATGTGGCAGCAGTTGACTGCTTGACTGGGCCGAAATTGCAGCTCGGAATGAAATTTGGGGATCAAAGAGTTCAGAGATGGCATGAAAATCATAAGTACGAAACCCATGATCCCAAGAGAATTAAAAAGAGTCAAAACATGTCGTTGACAACTGCTTCAGTGAAAGATATTGACCGAAATGGACGGACTTCAACTGGCTGGACTTCTGAAAAAATCTTGCAGGTGGAAGAAATGATTTCATGCACCGCTGACGATAATAATGATACCGGAGTTCTTTTGAAAGCGATATTAAGAAATTAGTATTAAGTATTAAGTATTAAGAAATATAAGTAATAAGTAATAATATAAGTTAAATATAAATAAGTATTAAGAAATTCCAGGGGAATAGTTTTCAAATGCTGCAATAAAAAAGGTTGCTATCCTTATTTGGAAGAAAAAAATACTTTAAAAAATTGGGAGAGACTTTCAAATCATCCTGGTGAAGATAATTTATTTCGGTTCATATCTTTCGCTGAACCAATTGTCTTAGACTTGTTTTAACACCTTTTAATTCTCTGAGTATCTAGGGTTACTTGCTTATGATTTTCACATGTGGCACCAACTCTGAACCCATACCATATACACCCAAATCCCAATCCACACTGCAACATTGGTGCAGTCATGAAAAATCATTTGCCGCGCCATCTCTTATAAGAAAATCGCTACACCCATTTAAAAAAAAAATACTTTCAAATACCGCAAGAAAGAAGTTTTTCATTGTTAGAACAAATATATGCAATTTAAAAAATAAGGAGTGCCTTTCCAATCACAATGTATATATTATGTTAACTTCAGGTACGACTTTTTCACTTTTCACAATGACCTATACCTGTACCACGTTTGAACTAAAATTCTATTTAACGATTAATGTTCATAGACCTAAATATTGATAGAGCGGCTGAAACGAAAAAAAAAATCAAACACATCGAACAATGCAGGATTTCAATGGCTTTTTAAACCGACTGAATATTGAGAACCCGCTGAATACCAACCTGATGCTGGTAGTCCTATCGCAGCAAGTGACAATCTGAAGAAGAATCCGAAGCCACCGATTTCCCATTTTTTCTGTCCTAGGTTTTCTCAGCATGGGTTCGATATTTTCTGTACGTCATACAGGCATTTCTTGCAACGGATGTCAAAGTTAAGGAAAACGCTAATCGAAAAGAGGACTGACCAATTGCATCACATTCTATTATAGAATAGAAAGGAATTCCTTCCACTTTCGTTCTCTTTCTTCTCGAAAAATTTTTTTCTCGTTCTTCTGAGATGGGCTGATTCCACTGGATGGCTATTTTGAATGCTTCAAAGCTCTCCGTCGTCATCGTCCACAGTAGTTTGTTAATGGATTCATTGTCTTCGTCGGAAGAAGATCCATCGTCTTCTCTTTCCTTCACGAAGTAGCTGGAGCTGTTCACGGGGAAATACTCCTTGTATTTCAGTCCAGCCTCTTTCATTGATTCCAGGACGGGGGGGCGTTTGCAGTCTGCGAATGTGCAAAACAGGTAGGAAATGCTATTAGTCTCATTTCCTAAGACTTGGAACATGTTCTCCAACACCATCTTCTGCTTCGCCGTCAGCTTCCACTGTTTACGACAACATGGTGGATGTTGCTGATGAATGTACTTGGGAAGAATGCAAAGTACAGTACGTAAGCGAATTCAATAAATGGTTCACTTAACATATCTAATGGGATTGTTTTACTGGAATTCTTAATTTTGATGTTAACTATTTGCAAATTTTCTTATTATTATAAGTAAAAATTTTCTTACTCTGTCGCCTGAACTTTTAGTAGATTTCAATTTCAAATGAAAGCATGAACCATATCTTTTATAAATCCTTGTTAACGGAATCATGAACGGGATACTCATTTGCTTCACATATGGTCTAGGGCTCGATGTTATCTGCTTACAATTACATCTGAATACCTGCATTTTTTTTAAGGTGGGGGAGAGAGAGGCCTCAACCGATCTACCTGAAGGAGTTTTCGTTGAAAAAGATTCTTCTTCGTTATAATTTGAAGAATCCTTAAGAGAAAAGAAGCACAACAATGCACTTTCATGAGTGCTTCTAGTTTGGAATGAAGATTAATAATAATAGCTTCAAACGCGAATTCAAATTGTTTCGGAATTGAATTAATTTCTTAATGGGGGTGAAGGAATAAAAAGCAACCTGAAAGGCTGGGAAGACATAAATGACGGCGTGGATCCCCAGCCAATGGTTCGACCAGATATGAGCTCGGATGTCTTCCATCAACTTCTGGTCATCCTCGGGTGTCCGCGTTTGGAAGCCCGGTGTGTCAATGAAGGTGACGGGACGAAGGAACCTTCCTTGCTCTTTCTTGGTAAAGAATGTGTGTGATGTGATCTGCTTCGTGGGTCCTTCCTCTTTCACTCGGAATCTATATGGATCTCCATACTCCACTCCCAGTACGTTATTCCCCATGGCTTCCAACAACAACGATTTCCCTGCAATGAAGAAGAATGCAAATGTTTTCGATCCACGCCTTTCAATTTCAACGGGAAAGTGGACTTTCATGACACAAGAGTTAACCTGATCCAGTCGGGCCGAGGAAGAGGATGTTCAGACATTGTTGTACGTCTTGTTGATCCTCCCCCAAACGGAACCAATGAGTTTTATTTGGAATGGCTTGGAACGGAAGAAGATAGGTCGGCAGGTCCTTCCCTCCGATCGGAGCCTTCCCTCCTTTCAACCTTTGATGCCAAAATTGTTTCTTCTCCATCTTTGAACTCCTAGATAGTGTACAATCGAGGAGTCCATAGTTTGAATATTTATTTCTCACAAGTTGAAAGTTTCTCAGAGATAAGGCATATCTGCATCCTGTTGTCATCTCAGACTCCCAAACGAACTTGAGCAACAATAATTAAACGGCCATTGCCATAGGATATTGGTGAATCAGAATGAATGTTAATTTAAGAAAGATAATAAAGGAAAGTGCATTCCTGTTTAGGGACTGCAGTTACCAGTCATACAAGAAAGCTAGAAAGCATAGAAATACTTTCCGCTTCCCTTTCGCTTTGGCTGCATTGCGGGAGCAGACAGGGCTTCATCCCATAAATCTGACTTCATGAAGTAGCCGAAAGGAGCCCATCGCAGCAGCTATTTCTTGGCGGACGCGGAGGCTTACGGTGCGGCCGAGCTTGCGCAACTCTTATCTGTTCTATATGGAATTATTGTAGGGAGTTGTCTCGTGTTCATTGCTCTGCCTTCATCGTGTTTGGTTTAAGGGTTTGCCTCAGTTTCTTTTATTACTGGAGGCTGGATCGGAAGTCGGTCGAGTCACAAGCGGTAATGGGGATTTTAGTCATTTTCGACTTTCTTACTTCTGTGGAGCCTGGACGTCTGGCCAATTTCAATTTCCCACTTCGTAAATTGACAGCACGTAGCCGTGAAAGCTATGAGTTTTATTGTCATTTACGTTATTATTGAACGTTAAAAGAGCGAAGAAGAATGGTCTTGCGGATGCTGATCGTTTCAAGGCTCACTTAAGGCAGTAGAATCGTGTAAGCAATTCAAGAGGGCTCCAACTCGCACTAGGAGGGAAATCCCTTCGATCGGGATCTGTTGCAGACCGCCGATGTTTTCAGCAGCAGGTTTCTGTGGTTTTTATATTTCTCTAGTGCATTGCGTATTGAGATCTTCCCATTGAGAATTTTTTGACTGAGTAGTAAATATGCTGCGTCTCGTTCAGTAACCTCAAATACAGCGGGAGATGAAATGTTCTTAAGCAATAGGAAAAGCCTCTTGGACATTCTATTTTTGGGGAGTCGATTTACCCACAATCTGCAAGTATTCACCTGTCTTCCTTCTCCTTCATTTCCTCCAATTTCTTCATTTCCTCCAGTTTCTCCATTTCCTCCAGTTTCTTCCTTTCTTCCTGTTTCTTCCTTTCTTCCTGTTTCTTCCTTTCTTCCTGTTTCTTCCTTTCTTCCTGTTTCTTCCTTTCTTCCTGTTTCTTCCTTTCTTCCTGTTTCTTCCTTTCTTCCTGTTTCTTCATTTCTTCCTGTTTCTTCCTTTCTTCCACTTTTCTCCTTTCCTCCTCTTCCCTTTCTCGAGCTTCGCGGGACAGAATGTCCTTCATGAAGTCTTGAATGCTCTCCGTCGTCATCATCCATAGCAACTCGTTGACGGACATCATCTTCAGTTTCTTCCTCTTCACTTCCTCCTCGTCGAAGGAAAATCTATCGTCCTCCTCCTCCTTGGCGAAGTAGGAGGAGCTGTTCACGGGAAAATACTCTTTGTATTTCAAACCCGCGTCTTTCACGGCTTCTAGGACGGGGAGGCGTTTGCTGTCTGCGAATGTGCAAAACAGATAGGAAATGTCGTGGATTCCAGGAATCCTACCTCCCAAGACTTTGGCCATGTTTGCTAGCACCACCTTTTGCTCTGCCGTCAATCTCCCCTGTTCGTAAGGACAATATTAATATCTGGTATTGTGGGAAAAAATTATCAACTTATCATTCTTGATATATAGAAAGTATTCTGATAAAATATGCGGTGTGGTCCAAAAATCAGTTATCAGCGCATCTAGACCAAGTGTTGGTTACAGACAGGCCTGTGACGTCGAAGTGGAATTTGCATTACGGAGGCACAATAACAATTGTTCCCCAAGAGGTTGAACGTGTTCAGAACAGGCTGAAATTTGAATCTGAAAATGAATTATTTTCCTTTGCCCTCCTGTCTTGCTGATAGCAAGGGGAGTCGGGAGAAATTTCCCTAATTATCAGGCATTCCCATAGGTATCAATACTATGGAGAAATGCCAGATAATGCGGTTGGGTTGTCATTTTTTAATTGTTCATTCCATCTGTCTGCAGTAACCATAGCAACCGGAAAACAAGACCCAATGCGCACGCGCAGTTTCCCGCCTAGGTCAGGGTGCCAGTCTTCCACAAAAACATCTACTTCCCTTCCAGCCCTTACCGTTGACAGGTTCATAGTAGACAATGGAGGAGAGCGGCTGCTCCCGGCCGCCTAGATAGGGTTGCTAGGCGTACGAGTGAAATCCCATATCTGGTATCTTTTCATACTGTTCTCCCATCTCCACGCGACGCAGACCCCCAGACCATCGAGAATATGTCTAGTTTTCCGGGCCATTTCATAAAACCCTAGGCCAAACCAATGACAGCTATTATTTATTTTCAAAATTGGATGGTTAGGATGCTGTGAATATACATTTCTTTAAATCCAGTGGTACAGGGGCCATTGGAATGCTTGATCTATACCTGGGCTGGTACGCTCTAGTTCTGTTGTGCTTCATTTCATCCCATTGGACCATTTCATCTTTCTCCTTTAGAATTTTAAACTGTATCTGAAAGTGTTATTAAGGTATTGCTGTTACTCTTACGGATTCATCCAGTGGGAAAATTGCAATAAATAGATTGTGTGTGATTCTGAAGATAATTACTCAATGAATCTAGACATTTGCCACAAATAGGGTGACGTCAAAGGGGTAATTGCTCTCTTCCCTCGAATACTTTCCTTCCGTGCATAACCTAGACACATTGATAGAGAATGGATTGGATTCCGCTGTGTGGAATAAAATACAACCTGAGAGCCCGGAACGACGAAGACAACGGCGTGGATGTCGATGTCTTTGGTGTAAGCGTAAATATCTTCAATCAATTTCTGGTCATCCGCCTGTGTCCCCTTCTGCAAGCCCGGCGTGTCGATGATGGTGACGGGATGGGGGAACTTTTTCCTGTCCCTGGTGAAAAAGGTGTATGAGATGATCCTGTTCGTGGATCCATCCTTCTTCACCCGAAACCGATGGGGATCCCGATAATCTACTCCCAGCGCGTAGTTCCCCATCACCTCCCCAATCATCGATTTTCCTGCAAGAAAGAAAGCACGGATAATCCAGACCCGACTCACACCGTGGAGAACCACCAGACGACACGAGCAGTGACCTGATCCAGTCAAGCCAAGGAGGAGGACATTCAAACATTTTCCTCCTCGTTGATCTTCCCCCAATCGGAATCGATCATTTGCAATATGCTGAAACGAAAAGAGGTAAGTCGGCGGATCCGTTCCTTCGATCGGAACTTTTCCTTCTGTCAGCCCCCTTATTTCATCGGACTCCATCTTAGTTAGGTCTAATGCACAGTCGAGGAAGGGGTCATCGCTCTTATATTTCGTCCAAATGAATTATCCCGCAGATATGACGACGATATGAGCTGCCTGCTGGATAAATAGAAGGCCTCCAAGGATCCCGGACCTAGGATAAGGTACAAAACCGGCTTGGTGTGAATTTCAAGTCGATGAAGTCAGATATCGTGGTGGTATCCAGATATATCTCAAAATAGTAAACTATTGTATTAATGTTATTAAGGGTGGTAATGATTCATTCGTCCATTCGAGGAATTCGCCCGTGCAGACAGCTTCTACTCCTTCATTTTGGGTAGGGAATCGGCGGAATCGTGGAAATCGGGGGAATCGATTAGTTTGTTCGAGATGCGCCTGAGACATGTCTGACGCAATTTCCTTTCTTCCTCCCTCTCGAAACTTCCCCACTGACTCGACACTGTCAGGAACCACCATCGCGAATCGAGAGGCCTTCCACCCTGTCTCCGATCTTTGCAAAGCTTCCGTCTCACCCCTACATCCTCACCCCGTCCCTCTGCTTAAGCAAGCAGCAGTGGCGGTAAGGACTGACCTGAACGATCCTGCGGGCCCATGACGGCAGATAGCAGAAGAAAGCAGGCACTCACGAAAGTCCTATGTGCAGGACTCCATCATCCTCTTCCCTTATCGTCTGTTTAAATCCGCGTCCCCCGATAGAGGCGTATCAGCGCTTTACCTCCCCGGATCCCGCCATAACGGACGAAATTCCTTCCCAGGCATCCTTCAATTATCGACTCGGACGACCTTCAAGCGAGAAATAATTAGTCCCAATCAGCACCATCGAGAGAGAGCAATAGACCCCTCTAAAAAAGGCAAGTCCTCCCCGTATCCCATTCCAACTGTTTGCCATCTCAAGCAAGCTTCGAGGGGGAAAAGATTCTTTAAGAAACTGAGATGGGAAGAGAGACATTGGAACGGAATTCACCTCAAACACGTGTCACGCCTTAATCGATATATAATAGCAGATGTCCTCCGTCTGTCCGCCGGAAGCTTGCATGGGTCGACATTTCCGAACCTGACTCGATCGGCCCGATTCGAGTCGTGGTCCAGCCCGATTGGAATCGTGGTAGGAACCCCACCCGGAACTCGATCGCTAGACGGAGCTGAGCGACCCCTCCTGAGGGTCGTGTAGGGCTGATCGAGCCGGTCCGCAGCCCGCTAATGCTTCTAAGCTTCAGAACTCGGTGTCTCTCGGTACGTCCTTTTTCTAAGGGGTTCTACTGCCTCTGTTGACGCTTCCGGTTGACGCTCCCATGACGTCACGTTCGCGCTGGACTGGTCAGTGCTCTCATAGTTCGCGACGTTCTGCTGCCAGCTTCTTGCCTGAGAGTGACGTCATTTAATGACTTGAACGCGTCGAGCGCTGACGGAACGAGGTGGCATTTTTGCCAGCAACTGTAAGCGGCTGGAGAAAAAGATCCCTCTAATAATGCATTCGCCTGCACCCAACAGGAATCTTGATTGCCTATTGAGCTGCTGCACTATCAGCGGGTAGAGTCCGTCCAATAGAGCTGAAAATCATACCTCATTCAATGCCCATGCGTTCGAAATTCGAATGTCGTAACTCGCCCGAATGCTACGAGGCGGCATTCGCTGAAAATTTGCTTACATGCAATTGAAGGTTCCCTGATGACGCAATGCATCCCTTATTATTGATCCTAAGCGTGGCAGATTGGAATACGAACGCCATCCCTAGAATCCTCAGAGACAGAACTCTGGGGTCTTGAGGGTCTCTGGGGATGGTAAGGAGCTCCTCTCCTTCATCTGATAGATATGAATTTTTAATTCGTACATTGGGTCTCATCAATTGAATATCATAGAACCTAGCATATTGCAATTTGGCATATTGAGAAAATCTGGGATTTGGGGAAGGAAGGGGGTGTATGACGAGACGCACTCAATAGTATTGATATGACTTAGGAATTCTAGCTGCGTTTCATTTAGATGCCTCGGGACATACGTCGCTTAACCTCAAATGCGAAGACGTGAAAGTATCACGGGTACCAGCTAGTGCCAAGCATAAACAGAGGAAGAAAAGAGAGGAACTAGAACCAGCAAACATGGTCCTTTCCACAGTCGTCCCTTACTAGGAATGGGCTCCTCACCGGACTCCTTACGCACAGGGTGAATCTGTTTTCCCTGACAGCTTGAATGTCATGCCCGTTAATCTCGTCGCATAATGTCGGCACTCCAAAGTGAATAATTCGCCATGACGTTTGAGAATCGTTTCAGAAAAATGGCGAAAATGAACCCGATGGGCGATGAAGATCATCAGAAGAGGAAGTTCCGAAAACCATAGCTTAGGCCTTCAAAGAGAGCAAGGAATGCAAAACAGTTACCTGTTACGAGATATGAGAAGGGCAAGGTAGAAAGGGAGGAGGGAAGAAAATTCATTTCTCAGATGCACGGTCTAGGTCATACCGTATGAGGTTGAACGTGAATGCTAGTGCCATGCACGTCTTGGCATGTGAGAGGGGGGAAGGGGAAGAGGTAGACTGATGTGAAAATGCACTAGAGTTCCGTTGACCTTGTCGTTTGCTGACCAATTTTAGGCACAATAACAGAAATAAATCACACTGCTCGGAAACCGGTTCACCGAGAAAGGCGATTCATTATAGGCGTCATCAGAAATTGTGGGTCAAACCACCACACTGTAGAGGAAAACAGCTCGTGGTCGTTGGCGAGGAAGAAGGGATGCAGGAGAAATGCGGCCGATTGCTGCATGATTTCGACATGCCCTCAGTGAAATCGTTATTGGTCTGAGGATAAAACAGCAAATTCGCTATAATTCGGCAGAGCCATTTTTCAGGGCCATCTCGAAAGATTTACTTATAAAAACTTAAATCCTCATTCTGAAGATACTTGGTTCCGAAGTTCCAAATAACTACAAATTAAAATATATTCACGCTAATTTTCAAATGCCTCCCAAGAATTACCTTCAAAATCTGAACGCGGGGAGATAAAATTGGAGGCAACGTCCACGTTATTCATTTGTGT